ATCTTGACTAAGTTAACATTGTTTACAGGTCCGAATAGTCATTCTGTACAGACTAGTTATTGATAAGATTAAGATGATCACATGAAATCAATAGAATTAGATCAATAGTAAGAAATAGGCAACAAAATATTGTTTACCATTTAGTCATTGAAAATAAACTTCTTTGTAAACAGATATGCACTGGAAAAAAAATCAATAAAACTAAGAGAATCAACAAATATCTTATTTACTCTAGTTAGAAACTCTTCACTATTGTTTACGTAATACGTTGGATAGAATCTAACAAAGAGTATTTAACTCTAGTGATGATTATTTAGCCACGAATTGATATTGTAGAAATTATAGGATTACTTTATGGGATTCATTTTCATAGACGGTGTTGCGTAATATTTTTTTATAGATGCCAAATCTAATTTATGCTTTAAGATAGAAATAACTACAGAATTGAATTCACTTGGTATAGTTTGGCTTGTATCTTCGCATTGAGATTTAAGACTGCAATTGATCAGACTGTTATTGGCATATGTGCACACTGTGCGTATGCCTCGATATTACCTTAATTCATAAGCCATTTGTAAGCACTGATGGATAGTGGCTAACAGTGGAATCCAGGACGCGCGTTTCGTCCTATTTGGGACTCGTCAAAACTGATTTCGCTTTATGAATTTAAATAAAGCCAGAATGAACATCGATGCAGAATAACATTAATTCATTATATTCCTCATGTTCTAAAGAAATTGAGACTGCGAGGGACAAGGGCTTTTAACATTGCAACAAATCGGCATTTACTTGACACTAGGTATACCATTAATATTCCTCAAGCTTTTTAAATTATTCGCAGACAAAGAAATACTGCTTCTCTTGGGTTTGCTGAAGCAATTGAGATGAAAAAACTGAAACCTGATCTATGTATTCAAAAACAGTAATAAACCTATTACTACGCTGGTAATCCAATTTTTGTCTTTAGTATTATTGTTTATTTTCAGTATAGAGTTGTGGAAATGATCCATCCATGATCCCGCTCGCACAATGCTGAGGAGTCCCACAATAGAACGAAACGGCCATCCAGTGCTTCCAGGTTCTCACTGGTGGTCTAACGTCAATCGGTTCATGATCTCAATTAATAGCTTAATATCTCTATACTGATAATTAACAAGTGCTCACTAGTGACTAGCTTCGTGAGGGAATTCTCGGAGTTCTAGTGAGAAGCCGTGACCAGTAGAGCTAATCCATGTCGGGTAGAGACAGGTTTCTACCACAGTACAACGGAAGATAGTCGTGCAATTTCGTGGACTGGTTGAGGCTAGACATTAACACCGTTGGATGCCGGCCAGCTCAGTGGCCTAGTAGGTTAAGTGTTCGCGCGCGAGACTGGAGGCTCTGGGTTTGAGTCCCCCATGCGGGATTGTGAATTGTCATTCCAGTTCTTTACATTCACTTAGGTCGATTTTTTCACACTATATCTAATATATATTTGGTTGTAAGCAGCTGATGAGAAACCACGAAATATAGTGAATCCATATTATTCTGCATCAATGTTCGTTCTGGCTTGACAAAATTAATATATCAGTTTCGTGTGCTGTTACGGGTATGAGGATTGATGTCACTTCCCGGCTGCCTATACAGTGCAAGGGTATTTCTTGGGGAACCTGAAAAGGAGGATGAGTTAGAGTTGGTCTTAACGAATTGGGAGCGTGACCGTAGAGCCCAAGGGACAACTGCTTGAGGCTGGTCGCGTACGGCCTTTTTGTGGGTGGTTTTAAATGTGTTGGTTCCGTTCTTTAGAGGGCCTTACGGCCGAAGACGGAAATCTGTGAGGTAAGCTGAGGCTTGACATGTTTTAGGGTCAACCTCTTCTAACCCCTTCCTTCCTTGTGAGAAGGCAGCACCGCTGCAGATGCTAGTTGTCCGAGGGAAACACCTTACTGCTGTCACACCCCTCTACAGTCAGCAGTACGACTTCACCCTCAGATCTTGAGTTGCTGCTATTAGTCTTGCCGTTCTCAAACGGACCTGCTTGGCATGGTACAACCTATAGGAACATATGTTCCAGCCAAAAGAGCTTGGTTGGGTCATCACGATAGGCAAGCCCGACCGACACATCATGGTAGTAGCTACGGTCGAGTACAATATCTCATGATGTAGATATTAATTATTGCTTAAAAATAACAATGAAACAATTTACACTTAATCTAAAACACATTTACAGATTAAAATCTAGGAAAGTATATTTGAGACATAGAATTCATGTATTCTTATGTAGTTTACCATCTGTTTAAACTAAAATTTGGACATATATTACATTATTAAATACTCTTAACATGTTATGATGTTTAGCCTTAATACACTAAGAAATTAGACCTGACTTCTTCTTTTTTTTTCTTAAAGAACATGAATATTTCATTTTTTTTAAATGGATGACCAACAAGTAAAAATTAAAGAAATCAGGTTGAAAGTAAAATCATGTGGCTTAAAATTCAAATAATAATGGTGAAATGAATGAAAAGAAGGGAGATTATTGTTTAGTAAATTGTATTTAAGATAATGGAACTGTTGTATCCCGTTAAGAATAATGAATGGTAATTTTTGGGATCCATTTATGGACCAATATTATGAGCATATTTTTATCGTATAATTGTTATGTAACTAGACTGTTCATATTCATGCCCCTCTTATTATGAGTTTTGTTTTGACCTATGAACCATTATTATACGATTTACCATTCATGAATTATTCCCTGTCTGTTAATCGCTACCTCCCTCATTCATAACCACATCTGGCTAATTCTTATACAATGTTGTTTCATATTTTATTGGTACGTTGTGGTCGGTTTGATTGGTATATAAACTCAGTATGCTTGAAATATAATGATTCATATCTCAGAGGCTAAGACTTGCGTTCTGGACTCAACTGGCTAGGCTAGACAGGGAAGCGGGACCAATCAGAACTCTAGGCTGTTCTTACGTGTTTACGCGTCTTCGGTCCAATCGATAATTCGCTGCCGTCTAATCCGAAGTCACAGTTATAACAGGAACAATAGTTTGTATTGACTTCAATTAGACAATCGATAAAAATCAAGGAGCACTGAAAAAAGCTATTTCATTCGAGTATAGAACACTTCGACAGTGGACATCTACTACTCCTTTCAGAAATCGAACCCAAGAAATGCATATCACTTAGCGAGCACATTAAACTGTTAATTTAAAAAGGTACATATAATCTTCAGTATTTATTTAATATTTATCGGACTGTAAAAATTCAAGCAACTTTGTCAAACTTTAACAACTTTAAAAGACTGGCGCGAGACTGATAGGTCCTGGGTTCGAATCTCCGGGGTGCGGGATCGCGGATGCGCACTGCTGAGGAATCCCATGCTAGGACGAAACGGCCGTCCGGTGCTTCCTGGTTTTCCATAGTGGTCTAGCTTCAATTGACTCATGATTTCAATCTGTGAAACTGTATATTCATATGTCAAAAGATCTAGTCTATGGTGATACTATCGGTAAATTATTCAAAAAGCAATTCTTAAATCAGTTAATCAGAGAGACTATGATTTATGTATGACTTTTGATCGACAATATAGTGGTCTTGAGAAAACTCACTTACCTAATAGGATATAAAGAGGGTTAAAAATTAGTGTGAGAAATTAGAATCGGGTTCTAGAAGTTAGAAGATAGGGTTAAGAATGAAAATTAGGGTTTTCTCCCATAAATTGATATTACCTATAATGCTAAAATGTTATTTAGTCAAATGGATGAATGAATTTCGTGCCAAATTAAAGACCTGCTATCTTGAATCTGATTGCTTTGTCCATAATTTATAGTTTTGCTGACAAATAAAAATCTAGTGGCAATATTAAGCGTTGGACTAGTGACTGAATCCATTATAATAAGTTACTGAAATCTACAAACTAGTCTATTATTTAACTTACCTGACAATTTCGTTAGTCACTGATGATATGAGCCTAATATAGATTATGTAATATGACTAATGAAGTTAATTAGATGATGTTTTGGTATTCAATATAACTTTTGAAGTTACGTAATTAGTATCGTTAATGTTTGCTGTAAAGTTCAAGCATCTATTTTATATTCAATCGTTTTATCATTATTCGTTATCTTATAACTAAAAGCAATATTAGATGATGTGATAAGATTATATTCGTCAAAGATTTTATACTGTCATCTGCTTATTTAAAATGCATGCACTATACAAGATTTTTCGGAATCCTTTCATTCTTTTAATAAATAACTGTAATATATAGGAACAATAACGGGGTGGATTTGCATGCATATAGCATACAATTCTCTTTGAACCTAGCACACAACAATAGCATCATGCACTATCTCATCACCCTTGGCAGATCAGGTAACCCGAAAGTTACGAGAGCACCATCAGGGCATACGACAGGTCAGGTAACCCTGTAATACATAAAAGTAAAGTTTCTTTTAATTAAGACTTCATTTCAAGCCTTAGTTCTCTTTATATTTATGTTTTTCTCTCGGTATATTCGAATGCGTTACACTTATATGTTAACAACAATAAGATGTAAATTAGTTCAAATGTTTAAAGTGAAACCACTAATGAAAATTACACCCTTATTTACAGTAATCAATCATTAAATAAGAGGGAAAATATCCGAAAATTCTGGAAAATACACATTTGTTGAACACTGAGAAAAGGTGAAAATAATTTAGACCTATAGAATACTCAGTACAACCGATTAGTGGATCGAACTAGAGTGTCTCAGTCAGTCAAACAGCTACTCAATTGTATTAGCTAAAAAAAATTATAATCATTTAAATGTGATGCGTTCGATATATTTTTTTAATGCACTATATGATGGTGTTGTATACTGACAGGTGAAACGGAACTTCTTTCTTTTGATAGACTACATGCGTTACTGATATTCCTTCAGCGTCAAATTCAACACAATTCTTTTATTTCAGTAAAATCACAACCGAAAATATATGAATCGATAATTTAGAGAATAAAAAAGTGGATAAGTTGACATTTATTTTTACATTGTTTGAGATTTTATCGACAGCAATTGTTTGAAAGATTTGACAAAATAAATTGTTCGGATAATAAATTACTACTAATTAAAATATAAGTAGTTAAAAGAATATAATACTTTTTTTGTAAAACCCCTGGTGTGATATTAAAATAAAATTTTCGAAAAAAGAAAATTTATATTGATTTACGGTTTCTTTTTAGATCACAGATTAAGTTGATGAATATATTGAAGGAAAAATTAATCACAGCCTTTTGTTTGATAGATGTAAAATGATAGATTTATCTCATTGTGCTAACAACGACCAAGTTTTATGCTCCCACCAAAGCTAATAGTATTAGACGTAAATCACCGCTTGTTTCATCCTGAAAATCAAGGAAATTAAAAATTCTTTTTGATCATTGTTCCAGCATAAATAGGAAAATGTCTAATTTGTTTTAAAAATCTATAAGTTTGTTTTAATAAATCTAACACCGACAATAATTCCACTGTCTCAGTTACTGTGTTGGATCACAAGTCACGTGAATCCCTATTCTTTTAAACCTGCCTTTAGAACATTAAATAACCAGATAAGTGATATGACGTACTTTCATTAGTTAAATAAATCCACTGACAGAATTCAAAAGGTAGAACACAGGATTAATATGTATCAATTATAATAATTTTTGACTATTATACATAAATGGGATATTTTTAATCCAGAGTTTAGTAACAAATTGTATGGTTAATTGAAAGTAATTGACGAACAATATAAAATAGTAACAACACTGAATACATCAAAAAAGATAAATTAAAATAGAAGCTATAAACTGGTTAATTAACGAATAGCTGTCCAATTTAGCAGCTTCATTTTACTATTCCTCCCAAATACTCCATTTAAAACTGGAAATATGCTCATCACAAAAACTCGGAGACTTTTGTTTTTGATTACTGATAAGATTAAAGGGTACATAGTGTTGTGAGGCTTCGAATTAAAATAACAATAGTTGTATAGTGGTGCTTTTTTTAGTGATTATTAAGTCGATGTCAGTTCATAATGAACACTGAGTAATTTCGTGGATTAGTTGAAGTCAGACATTAACACCATTGCATACCGGCCAGCTTAGTAGTCTAAATATTAAGCAATCACTCGCGAGACTGTGATGTCCTGAGTTCGAATCTCGTGGGGCGGGATCGTGAATGTGCATCGCTGGGGAGTCTCATACTAGTAGGAAACGGCCATCCAGTGCTTCCAAGTTTCCCATGGTGATCTAGCTTCAACTGACTCATGAATTCAACTATAAAATTAAGTAATAGTCTAATAATTTTGGCACTGACTTTACAATTATAAAAGCGTACACCTCCTATATGTTTGTAAACAATAACATCTCAGTTTAAAGATATGAATATTTTAATAAAAGGAATTTACTCACTGAAGGTTTACTCATTTGAAACACGATTCACATCTTTTTATGGATCACAGATAGTAAAAATAATAATTAAAAGCTTCAAGTGTTATTAATTTTAAATGAATTGGTTTTGTAATTATCTCAGTTTTACAGATGATTTACTTAACATTTTTTATTGATTCAACTTCATTTCATTAAAAAGACTCATATTTACATCAACAACATTATATGAGATGCTTATACATTAGAGTACTGTTAGGGAGATCCAGAAAACTTCTCAAAAAGTCAAAAAAAGGCTCTGAAAACACTTAGAAACAACTTATCCATTCAACATTCACTGGAAGTTTTGTCAGAAACATCTACAAAGTAAAAAGTCACATTGGATAATTATCCATACTGCTACTATGTTGAGTGGCGTTCTAGAACATTCCGGAAACCCAAGGTCATCTAAAATAAAATCCCTAGATTTTCTGTACATAAACGAACCTTTGGAGTAAAGCGTTTCTTCCATATTTCGTAACTTTTCTCTCATGTTCAAATCGCTGTGTAAATTTAGCCCGGAGGGTTACTAGAAGAGCTTATGAACCGAATCTAGAGTCCACTTAAAATGAATTATCAAGTACTCATAAATTAAGCTGTAACTTTATTTATACAAGACAAAATATTATAAGTTATAGTTATCTCTTACGGCATTATCCATAAAAACTATAATTAGGGAGTTGAAGGCAATCGGCAGTAAAATGTGAACCTAGGTCTTGCACTTGTTAACACTCGTCACTAAGGTTTATTTTTAGTATCGGATATTCTCAGCTTTACCATGGGATTTAAATAGATATCACCTTGTACAAAAGTCGGAAATGTCAACACCAAGATAAGATAGAACTTTAATTGAGTTTCCTTGGTAAGGAAATGTTTAAATTAGTTAGTTGTCGATCTTGTAAACTAACCTAGTAGAATTAAATTGGTACCGATAACTACACAGCACGAGATTGATTTTTATTTAGTAACTGGCTGTAATTATCAAAAAACTTCTTGAAATTGGTAGCAATCTACTAACAGGTTTATAAACAGCTAAATTATTCATCTTTTTAGTGGTGCCTATATCTGACTCCAGTTAGACAGTATGATGATTGTTATCCAAATATGCATCCTGATTACCCTCGTATGTAACCATAGAATTAAAATGCGTTAGTAAACAACAGAAATAAGTCAACTACGAGAATGAAATATGAATACGTATATTTCGTACACTCATTGATTTGAACAGACAATTAGGGAAACGAAGCAAAAGAATAAAAGAGAGAGCGAAGAGAAACGGTATGATGCACAATGGAGAAGGAGAGTGAGCCAGCCCAACTTGATCATGTTTGACTCAATATATATAACAGTTAAATTCATGAGTCGATGTAAGCTAGACCACCACTAAAAACCTAGAAGCATTCGACTTTCGCTTTGTCTCAGTACGGGACTCCCCAGAATTGCATAATCACGATCCCGCACGCGTGACTCGAACAAAAAACCTTTAGTCTCGCGAACGCTTACTCTCAATCTTTATAGTCAAACCAGAAATAAGTTACACACATAATGAACAGGATAAATGTTTAAGACATATACACATGGATAAAAACAGGGATAATATGCGAATAATCAACAACATCGAGATATGGCTTGAGAAGAATGAATAAATTGATCTGCCCAGAAGCTCGAATAGCCTATGTGGGCTTAACATAGTGTGCCAGCCACTATAGTTTTAATCCAAAACATTTAAGAAAAACATAGTTGAAATTAAAATACTATTTGTCATCAAACTACTATAAAAAGCAAAGATAGATAGTAGCTAGTATTGGAATCCAGGACACGAAATTTGTCCAATCTGAGACACATCAAATGCATGTTCACCCCGAGGCTTTAATCCGATATCGTTCGATTCAAACGTCGTCGCTTTATCCACTTAACTACTGAGTCCTGTTAGACACTCACTTGTGCGATGATAAGAAGATACAAGTAAACAATACCAAGTGAATTTAAACTACTACCATAATATTAGGTAAATGCAATCGGAATTTAAAAACAGAACTGACAAAGATGAATAGTAGCTAGCAGTGTATTCCAAGACGCACGTTTCGTCCTGCTTGGGACTCATCAGCTGGATGTACCTGCATCCCAAAGTTAACGTTCAAGATACAAATAAAACAACAAGCGAATTTAAAACTGACAAACTTCACAAAAATATATTTATTACTTACATGTATATAAGATTCTAATGTTTTACCAGTTAAACTTAAGAATTCTTTTTTAATTATGCCTAAATCAACTTCACAACGTGATACAATAATACGTATAAGTGTTCTATTATCAGTTCCTAATCGTTTCATTGATTTTTCTAATTTCTCAGCAAAATATTTCGGTTTATTTTTAATACAAGAAACTAGAATATAAAAATAAGAAGGAAAATAATTAAAGTTTTTGAATGATTCATTTAAATATACAATAGACTAAAGTATTAATCTAGTCAAGCAATGATGAACAGTAGATGGCAATAAGATCTAGGACGCGCGTTTCGTCCTGTTTGGGACTCGTCAGCTGGATGTACCTGAATCGAAGAGTTGATGTTCACTTAAGGCTATATCGAGGCATTCCGCATAAGATGCACATATTGTCAACATGAGACTGACCGATTACAGTTCTAAATAACGATGGGAAGATACAAGTTAAACAACACCAAGTGAATATTAATCTAGTTATTGAAGCCTTAAAATATAATATTCATGGTTAATGTCATTGAAAGAGAATTTGTCTATGCATATGAATAATCATTTATTAAATGATACTGTAGTGAACTGGAACACGAGTGGGGGACAATCGATTCATGATCTTAACAACTGAAATCACTACAATCTCCACAAAACCCCTTCTGATACAACTAAATGTAATTGAACACAAAATTACAGAACATTTTAATAAAATCTGAGAATCATACTGTAAATGGGTAGTTTGCAAAATATCAATCAATTGTCTCAAACTTGACTGTTCCTTTTGCAAATATCAATCCATCGTCTCAGATTTCATTATTACTGCATTTTCATACCAATTACTTTCCGTTCCCATTCTTTCCTTCTCGATTTTCTACTGAAATACATTTTATTCCTGACTATCATCGTATGCTACTTATGTGAATATAAGTAGCTCACACCACAATACTATGTATCAAAGAATCTAAGTTATTATAAAACAGTTCTCCAAGTAAAAAACTTATTTTAGTGGTGTATAGAAATCAACAACAATTATCATCTGTGAGGTTACTGGGTGATATTTTCAAAATTATATTTTATGATTCAGTGGGGCCCTTCATTTTGATGTCAGTCAGATAGGACAATGCTATGGACGGGCTTACGACTTTAGTGGATCGTATGAATGTTATTGAAAAACACATGTCGGCTATCCTCCTGTATAATTATCGACCTAATCCGCGTTAGTGAATAACGGAATTAAGTAAGTCAAATACGAGAACTGATTTTGAATATGTATATTTCATGCACTCATTGATTTGAACAAGCTATTAGGCAGACGAAACAATGAGTGAAGAGCGAAGGAGATTGGAGAAGCGAAGAGAAATGATGCGCGATGGAGAAAGCGTGTGGGCCAACTCGGTTTGATCAAACGTTAATCGATATTTGTAATCAAACAAAATAACCGACAGGTATGTGATGAGTAATATAAGAAATACCCACACATACGTTTACACTGAAACAGTCAGGGTTTATAAGCGAATAATTAACATGGTCAAAATGTGACTCAAAAAGAATGAATAAGCTGGTCTGTCCGAAAGCTAGGATAACTTATGTGGGTTTCACACAGTAACCGACACTATAATAAGTGACATAATAGTTCATAAAAAGTTGAGTCTAAACTTTAACGAACAATTTCACAGTATTCGTGCGCCGAGTTGATGTAAGACATTAAAGAGGAAGAATGTATTTGTAAAATCTCAACGAATGAATTTGAAATAAATTATCAAATAATTATGATGTTTGGTTATATTTCCCTGACAAAACTTGAACTGGTCGACTGGATTGTGAAAACTTAGATATTTGAGGGAAAGCACGAAATACAATAGACAGCTTGAATGCAATTAGACGATTTGGACTCCGCAGATCACCTAGCCCTTCTATTCCATACACATCAACAAATGCCGGTCAAGACAAACAGTGTAGCAGCAGTCTCTGCCTCAACATACAAAAGAGGAAAAGCAAGATCCTCAAACAAAACGGAGAACACCAACCGAATCATACTTGCTACAGAAGCTCTGGAAGAGGCGAAATCTTTCATGTACATGGTATGCATCATTGATGAGGAAGAAGGATCTGATGCGAACGTAAATCCAAAGCTTGGTAATGCAAGGATGTCATTCCTACAATTGAAGAACATATGGAACTCAAAACGATTTTTAACCAATATCGAAGTCACAATCTTCAATACAAACGTCAAAACAGTTCTACTGTACGGAGCTGAAACTTGGAGAACTATTACAACCATCATCAAAAATGTACAGATATTTCCAATCAATTGTCCACGCAAGATACTCAATGTCTGTTGACCGGATACCTTCAGAAACAGCCTACTGTGTGAGAGAACAAACCAGATTGCAGCTGAAGGAGAATTCAGGAAAACACGATGAAACTGGAAAGAACACACATTGAAGAAATTATCAAACTGCATCATGAGGTAAGCGCTAACTTGAAATCCTGAATGGAGACGGAAAAGAGGAAGACTAAAGAATACACTAGGTCGGAAATCGGAATTGGACATCAGAAGAATGATTATTAACTGGAAAGGATTGCTCAGAATAAAGTTCAATAGAGATTCCGGGTGAGAAATCTATGCTTCACCACGTGGAGGAACAGGTGTAAGTCAGTAAGTATAACATGAACTCATTATTATTAAACTAAACTCAAACACTGAAACTATTTCATGTAATACACATTTATGATCCTCTATGCTCAAATAGTTTTTTTTGTCATTAACTAAAAGTTTGTTTATTGAATATGAGTTAAAATTTATAAATGATTATGATTATTTATGGAAAGAAATTTAAAGGTTATAATGACTGACAATGTATAGATAACTCATATTAACAAATTGATTCATTAAATTATTCTTTCGTATTATTCAACTATTAAGCATACCAGTATAGGGGTTGTGGAGATTATTAAGTTTTTGATTGAGATCATGAACCGATTGATGTTAGACCACCACTGAATACCTGGAAGCATTAGACGGCCGTGTCCAGTGGAGCTAATTCGTGTCGGATAGCGACAGGTATCTACCTCAGTACAATGGAAGATGGTAGCACAATTTCGTGGATTGGTTAAGGTTAGACATTAACATCATTGGATGCCGGCTCAGTGGTCCAGTAGATTAGGCGTTTGCGCGCGAGAGTGAAGGCCCTGGGTTCGGATCCCGCGAGTGGGATCGCGGATGCACAGGGCTAAAGAGTCCCACAATAGGACGAAACGGCCATCCAGTGCTTCCAGGTATTCAGTGGTGGTCTAACACCAATCTGTTCATGATCTCAAACAAAAAATATTAAGTATACACAATAGGAAACATTTATAATACTAACCGATAGATAAAAATGCTCGAAGTGTATCACCATGCATTTCTGACTTTAAAGTATCTTCAATATTCTTCTTACCAATAGTTGAATATTCTTCGAATAATAAACGTAAATGAGCAAATGACCGTGAGACCAATATTTGAACAAACCTATAATGATGTGAATAAAATAAATTGATGATTGTATTCAGATTGATTGATAAACATCTAGTGTTAAACTAACAAATTATTCTCTTATCAACTATTTAATAGAGAGAACATTCAAAAATTCGATTCACTTGTTGTTTTACTTATATCTTCGCATTGTAATTATGGACTGCGATTGATCGGTCTCATGTTGGCATCCCATTGCTGCTAGCCACTGTTCATATTTGATTCAAAAATTAGGTTTAAACATAAGAGTAAATTGATAGACGTAATATAGACAATGATTTAGTAAGGTACATTTAACATTTAAAACTATTTGGAATTTAAACAGAAACATGACACTACAGTCAATTTTGTATTCTATTACTTAGTACAGTCTGTACAGAATGAATATATGTCAATAAGAGATTGATCAATTTCAGTCATAAACAACAATGGGAAGATTCAAGTAAACAATACCAAATGAATTTAAACTTGACCCTATTGCACAAGCAAGTGGCTATTAGGACTCAGTAGTTAAGTGGATTACACGATAGCGTTTAAAACGAACGGTACGCGGTTGGAGTCTCAGAGTGAACACCAACTCTGGTATGCAAGTACACCCGGCTGATGAGTCCCAAATAGGACGAAACGCGCGTCCTGGATCCCATTGCTAGCCACCATCCATTTCTGTTTAAAACAGAACGTATATATACATTTATCCGAATAGTATTGGTGAACTTTGTATGGTATCAAACTTTGAATGCCCATATGAATATATCATCATAAACGGCAGCCTCAGTAACATATGCTTAATTGTCGAACATTACATCAAATTACACTTTCAGAAAAGTCAAAACATTAGATCTAAGACAAAAGGCGAGAAATTTAATGTAGTGGTTGGAATCATATAAGTTTTTTCGTATGAATCACTATCCAACTCTGCCTAAAAAGTGCTTGTGACTTAATGGCAATATCAATGCAATCTGCACAGCATATCCATATGCAAAAGAGACTGATTAATTGCAGCCCATAACATCAGAGAGAGGATTCATATAATCATTACAAATGGGTCTAAATTCATCCTGATGCACAAACTAATAGATACTCAGACCCAGTAGCTTAGCGGATAACATATTGGAGTTTGGAATGAAAGGTACTAGATTCGAGCCTCGAGAAGGATATAAATACTGAGGTGCTGGTATATCCACCTAACAAGTCTCAAGAAAGATGAGACGCGCGTCCCTGATCCCACTGCTGGCCACTATCCAACATTTTTCAAGAAGCACTTATTGTTTGAGTTCATCGCATGCAGCAAGTAATTTGTTTCCTGGAAATACATTTTACATAGTTGTAAATACGTTAAGAACTATTCTCATCCAAGTACTGTGGTTGAGGTAACCTCTAGATATTCCTTGTATAACAACAATCCGGATCGGTATTTAAATACGCCGTAACATCAGTTAGACATATTAACTGTTCCTCAATTCACCATTATCAATCTATTCAGTGTAAATATTTGTACCCTAAGATACTATATAAAATCTGAATATAAATGTTTTTAAACCATAGGTCATTAATCGTCTGAATCGGTAACTTAGTTCACACTGACCAGTCTGTAATCATTCAACAACATGGACAAATGTTAGGCTATGACATGACGTCCCGTGACATCCGACTCAAATACACATGCTTCTTGTACTTTCTCATAATCAGCTATCCAATTGAAGAAACTGAAAAATAATTGGAAAGCTGTAATTTGCGAAAACAGATTATTAGGTTCACAAATCATATATATATGATCTAATCAAGGAAATGTCGGCGTAGAACTTGTCAACAAGTATAATCGAATTTCACAATTGATTGGTCACTGGGTGGCGATCAATGTCATGCGTGTCTGGTCCTTATTAGTGCAGATCGAACGCTGTCGATCATGTTGCAATGTGGCCAGTTCCCTCAATATTACAGGTACACCTTGCTGACGAGTGCCAAGTAACATGAAACCCGGGTCCAGGGTTGCCTGTCGACTACCTCCAACCACCATCTAATAATAGAATTTCCTTAGTAGCGTGTCTTATCATTCCTCACCAACTCCTTGACCTTGAGATGACATATTTGCACAAGTACGTAAATATACCTAGACTCACCCAGTTTTTTCAGATTATTCTACAGAATTACAGATAGAGAATACATAAGACAGTAGAATTATTGACTATCCAATCTAGTTCGCTTAATTTCACTACAATACACACTAACCGACTTGGGAAATTCTTATTTTATCAAAATCAAACAAACTATTTTTTTTTTAAAATGCAACTTACCTTGATTCATCTGTCCCTAATTTTTGTTCACCTGCTCTATATAAATTTTCTGCATCTTTACGAACAAGTTCCATATCTACTTTTAATGATTCATCTCTATCACCTTGTAATAGAGCAACACATACACGTTTAAAATGACGTGATGTATCACTTTTTACATCATTCTCTAAATCACGATTTGGGAATACTGATGAAGAGATTAAAATTCAATAAAAATAATAAAAAAAAGATCTTAGGAATCAGTTACATGAAAGAAATTTGATGGATATTTTATTATGAAGGCTAAAATTAACTTTGATTTGTGACTACATTTTTAGATAGTTCCATTTGGTCAAGTTCCAATGTTAAATATATACGATCAGTAGTATGTAGCTTTTAGTGGCCAGTGGATATGACTCCATTTAGATTGTATGAATGTTTGTTATCACCTACCCTCGTATACAATCATCGACTTAAATAACGTTAGTCAATAATGGAATTTAGATCAGAGAATGGCCTTTTGAATACATCTATTTTGTATGTAAAATGAATGTAATAGAACAAAGCAAAATGACGCGCAGTAGAGATGGCTGGTAAGCCAGTTCATTTTTAGCCAGGCGTTACTCAATATTTATAGGTAGACAAAATAAACTACAGACATGTGATGAGACATGGGATATGAAGTGTACACAAATATACGCTCATATAAAAACAGTCAAGACTGACAAGCGAATAATTAACAAGGTCAAAATATGACTCAAGTAGAATGAATAGATTGGACTGTCTGAAAGTTAGAATAAAGTATTTGGGCTTAACATAATAACTGACACTACAAGCTAATATACAGTATATATATATATATATATATATATATATATATATATATATATATATATGATTGATATCGCGGAGGCTGAAATTGGTATTCTGGATTTAACAGGCAGGAATAGACATGAAGAATGACCGATAAAAACTGTAGATTGCTCGTACGGGTTTTATGTGTGATTGGTCCGGTCGATAATTCACACTTCTCTACGTGGCGATATCATTACATTATATATTAACAGGGCCACAAGTTATAACATCACTCTGATGGCTAATTTATTATACTTGCTTCAGTATTACGATGAGTTAGTCAAAAGATGAATGACTCATTATTAACATCTCTGAATGCTACATGAAGCAAAAAAGATAAGTGGTGGTTCAGTGCTTCCAGATTTTTAGTGATGGTCTAACATCGATCGATTCATGATCCTTATCAAAAATTGATTATATTTGAAAATGTGAGCCACATCGTCACAACCATATAGTTTAAATATAACACTCTTATTATGAGACCTGAAGTTATTGCGTTCAATCATAGATGGATGTGAACTGTTAAGGGATTATATATTAGAATGACATGTCAGTACAGTACATCTTAGTGACGAAAGCCATTTTCTAAATCATACTATAGTGAACGAGAACACAAATGGGGATAATCGGATGTATTTGAATACAAAATTACAGAACATCTCACTAAAATCTGAGGACGATACAGTAAATACTTCATTTGCAAAATGTCAATCAACTGTCTCAAACTTGAACGTTCCTTTTGGAAATGTCAATCAATCATCTTAGACTTCATTGTTCTTTCGATCCTACATCAATCAATCTCTGATCTTTATAATCTTCTACCGACAGACATTTCACTTTCGATTGATGATACACACTACTTATGTCTGTCAGCATCAGTAGCACATACCACAAAACAAATAAACATTTTTGTCTTTAACGATGTTTCATCATAATAATACTAATATAATTCAAGAGTGTTCAAACTTTTCGAAGGAAATCATAACAGATATTTTCATTTTGTGTAGAAAACAAGCTACTGATGTTAACTTTCTTTATTATAATGCATAAAATACCAGGGGTTTAATAAACGGAAGTTTAATTATGCCTTAATTTTGGTGACAGTCTAATAGATCAAATAGTAGTTCATGATATTATGCTAAGGAATCCCACAATAGGACGAAACGTCCATCCAGTGCTTGCAAGTTTTCCATGGTTGTCTAGCTTCAATTGACTCATGATCTCAACTATTGATAAGTTAAACGTTGAGAATGAATGAATTTTATTATGAATAAAGAATATGAAATTATATATAAATCACTTACTTTTAGAATAAGTCTCTTTAATTTGCTTAATTTGTGCATTTGTTCTAGAGCATAAAATTTCAATTAAAGCATCTTCATCCGTACCAGCTCCTTTCACTGATCTACGCAGTTCACGTGCATCAAATTCAATTGGTGAATAACATAAAGCTTCCATACAATCATAAAAACTTCCACTTAATTCTGACTTAGATTTTGAGGTTAAATCTTTACCATACATTGATTTATATTTTTGTGTTATAGTTACTCGTTGTTCAGAAGATCGATGACCCATCACTTCAATTAGTGATTTTTCATTAGTTCCCATTCCAGCCATAGCTTGATGTAATTGTTCACAATCTTTATCAACATCAAAATTAGCTGATGGTTTTAAAGTTGGTTCGAGCTAATCAAATGAAAATATAGAAATCCATACTGAATAAAGAACAAATTGTTATTTAAACATCTAAACATTTGATTATCAGACATTAAGACTACGAAAAACATTACACTGGACAAAGCGGACGCCCTCTTCATCTTCGCCTGTATGAACATTAATTAGCAGTCAAACGTTATGACATGTCCTCACTTATATCAAAGCACGTGGACAACTACGGACACACATTCAACTGGAAAAATGCGGATAGAGGAAATTACAAAAACACCAGAAAATTTTTAGAAGCTTGGCACTCAGGTCAATCAGCAATCAAAAAGCGCATTGAAATTGATCCAAACTATCAACTGATCAGGAAAATTATGGACAGACATAGAACCAAGAATCAAACCAATAGAAGATGCAACCAAAACAAAAAAGTAAACAATGACAAATTTAAGGTCAATAAGAACCAATCAACGCCGAGGTCTATAGGACAAACTGTGAGCCAGATGTGGAGAAATTCGAACACTTCACTTCTGCCTGAAGTTTGTGCTGATGATGTCGTTCAGAAGGAAGATGAAAGCTCCACGACCATAGCATCCAGCTCAGAGAACAAAACTCCATCAAAATCATCCACCTGAGCTACAAATCTTCACCATCTCAGACATTACAAAATCATGTAGATGACGATGAATCACAACAACCATTGATGTTCAGGAAGTAAACTATTTTTATTTGGTAAGTAAAAATATTTCATGAGAATAGTATATATATAAATAAAAATCGTTGTTAAACTGAATAAATATTTTTGCAGAGAACCTTTATTTATAAAAATAGTCGTACTCTTACTAGTGACTAGTTTCTAAAAAGATTACCCAGAGCTTTGATTGGAATCTGTGGTTTCTGGGATTTATGACGATGAGACAGGGACGGTTAGTGTCGATAACACGAATTAGTAATCGCGCTATCTCACGAATAGAACGAAGTTGGATTTGAGAACCATTGAACGCACTGGTCTATTGGTACCTTGTTCAATGTGAAACTTAAATGTCATCTTGTTATAGTCCAAAGCCGCCAATCAGAACTCTAGGCTGGTCATACGGGTTCGCGCGTCATTGATCTGATCGATAAGTCACTGCCCTCTAATCGGCGGTCACAAGTTATGACAGTTGGCGACGGGAATGGAAAAAAACCATCCAAAGGTAGTCTGTAATTGGACGAAATTCGGTCAGCAGTCAGCATCCAGATTTGTCATCAGTGTACTTCAACGACATTGGTCACTATTCATACAGTAATTTTCATTGCCTGTGCTGATTACAGCTGCTATTTGAGAGACAGTTGGAGTTCTAAGTCGGATTACGCACGCAGCTGCTGAATCGCTCATGCTTTGGAGATGCGATGGAAGTGGATGGATTAATTTCTCAATTGCACACTGAGCTGGAAAATGATTGCAGCCTCCATGAATCTTCAACAAACCGTATTTCAAACGATACAGCAGTCACTCAATATCCGCCCAATGGTCCAGTACTATCCATTTCAGAAACATTCCCGGTAATGGATTTAAACTCCATTATCACCGAAACAGCATGTGCAGACAGTGACTTATCCAGCTCACAAACAGACGCCTTGTTAAATGTTCATAGAATTGTCGCAGTAACCGCCCATGAAACAGAAAACAAATCGAGCAGTACACTGAATGCAGCTGTTCCAAATGGATTTCATCATTATGCGACAGAAGTTTTTGACGAATCTTATTATCGAGATTCTCTTTTACCAGAAGATAAGTCGGATGTATCAAATGATGATCGGAAACCTAATACGACTTTGATAGATGCTGATTACCTTAATGATCTATTATCTACAAATAAGGCTCTCAATAAAATTGACAACAATATCTCAGAAGATTCAAACTCTGATGACTTCGAATTAAATGGCATTTATCCTCACTATCTGGTCAATTTTACTGGATTCTCTGTTGAATATGTTTAAATAAAGTCAATTTGATTGTAATTTGGGTATGTGATGACCCAACATTATTTCGCGGGGGGAGGATGAACTCGGAAAATTTAAAATCCGGATATCAACTCCGGATCCTCAAAAAAGGGGAGGTGTGTTATGTCCCGACAAGAATAACGAATGGTAACTTTTGGGATTTATTGATGGACCAATACTAAACGTATATTTCTATTGTATAATTATTAAGTAACTAAACTATGCATATTCATATTCCTCTTATTATAAGCTTTATTTTGACCTATAAACTATCATTATACGTTTTACCATTCTTGAGTTATACCCAGTATATTAATTACTACCTCCCTCATTCACAGCCACATCTGGCTGATTCTTGTACAAATGTTGTTTCATATTTTATCGGTACGTTGTGGTCTGTTTGATTAGTATATAAACTCAGTATGTTTGAAATATAGTGATTCATATCGCAGAGGCTCGGATTGGTGTTCTGGACTTAACTGGCTGGGCTAGGCGGAAAGCAGGGCCAATCAGAACTCTAGGCTGCCCATACAGGTTTACGCGTCATTGATTCGATCGATAAGTCACTGCTCTCTAATCGGCGGTCACAAGTTATAATACATATGTTTGCACTCTTCGAATGTTTATAAATTCAAACTGTCGAAGTACTTCAAATTAGAACGGCATGGATGTATAAAGATTCCTAGTTTTTAATAATTCTCCGACTAATAACAGTCCTTGATGAAATTTACCTTTGAAATATGTGAATTAATACATTATGATTAACAAAAACCTACTGGGTATTCTTCCACATCACGGTACTGATCATGTGTAGATATATCAACAGAACCCGACTTAGTATCTTCAGTATTATCGTCTTTTTGACTTGTCTACATGATTAAAAAAGATTCACAAATAAAAACAACATTCTTTTAGCTTAATTTATGATCTAGATAAGAATAGTTCTTGAAAATGCTTACCGAAAACTTCTTAGATGATTGGATTAAAATTTATCAATAGAAAAACTGACCTTTAACTGGAGAATTTTCATTCCAGGAAGTCGTAGTAATTACCTCTTATTGCTCTGATACTTCACTAAGTATAAGCTCTTTACTTCAGTTACTCTATTTTTAGACCGTTAATACACCACGTAAATTCGATTTCTTTAAATCTCTAATCAGAACACCTTAAGTCAAGATGATTGGTCATAAATTCTGTATCAGTTTCACTGATAAGTGATGCTATTATACTCAATCAAAGAGAACAATTATGCAATGATGATATTTTTAGTACAAAACGGATTGGGAAACACTGGAAAAGCCTCCTTTGTTTTAGGCAATTTTGTAAAGTTTCCCGATTTTTCACAGTTTAAATTGTGAACTAATCCTAGACAGATCACTGTTGACTGCCAGGAAGCATTGGACAGTTATTTTATCCTAGGAGGAGACTCCTCAGATGTGCGCGGGAAACCGAATCCTTAACCTCTAGATCGTTAAGCCCGCACTCAATGTTGTTCACATTTAACATGTACACTATTGAACACTGACTTAGGGACTGGGATCGTGGGTGCTCACTGCTGGGGAGTCCCCTGGTTCTTAATGGCTGTCTAGCTAAGCACAGTTCATGATTTAAAAAATGGTAATTACACGTATTCATAGCTGAATACTTTTCTGAATGATCCGTTGCTATTCTTTAATTGTTAAATTCAACAACATTATGAATACCCACTTTTGATCCGAATTTAAGTATTTAAAATCAAACTACTACTGGAAAAATTCATTCACCACAAAGTTTCATTTCACATCAACATTTTAAGTTTGCCGATGCATCAAGGTAATTTTGATACATTACATTTTATAACTCCCATTTAACATTAAAATTAAAACACGAAGTTCAGCGCAGGGATCTCTTATTTCAACGAATTTATTATCAAGCTTTACAATCGTATATATATGAAAGAACTATTGTTACGCTGTACTTTTGATGTCCAGTTCAGTTTCACGAATGAAATATATAGACAAAGGGATGGGATCGCAATGGGGTCTCCATTAGGTTTAACAACCCCAACTCGGAATTGAACTTTTAACTCATTTGAAAAATAACTGCTGACTTAGATCCCTAACTAGCAGCCATGAAAACTAAGTTAGTGCATTTTTTGAACACATCATGAACAAATATTTTTAAACAATATTACACGTCATATGGTTTCAATATCTTCTATTATTTTACCTTCGTATTGACTTACAAATAAATAACTAACCTTTTCTGGTGAATAAGGAATATTTTCTTTGTTAAGGGAACTTGGTCTGTTAGGTGTTGGTGTTTTAGGCGGTCCCATTGATTTATTTTGATTTGATTTTTTTCCTGAATCTTGAGAATCTCTATGGGGTTTTTTAGCTTTAATTGGTTTATCAAGATGGATTGTTAATAAGTAGCTATCTTCATTTTCATCGAAATCTGCAGAGATTACCTGAAAGGTGTGTGTGTGTGAGTGTGAGAGAGAATGGAAAAATAGATGACAATATGTGTCATTTATGAGAGACTTTATTACATACAGTTTCCAAAAGTATCTTAGAATGTTTAGCAAATAATTTGTTTAGAAACTCAGATTATAATGGACAACGGATTATTGATATTCACCCAATCGAAGATAATCAATAAAAAGAGGTAGGATAGGATCATCACTTAAGTCAGACAAAGTAAAATGGATAACTTCGAAATACAAAAAATCAATAGGACACGAAACCATAATCAAGATGAACATATAAAGAGAGGTATTAATAGCAGTGAATGCGATGGAAATATCGGATTGGGGTTAGTAATAAGGAAAATGAAAGCTCAAAATCTACAAAGTAAAATTCTATTAGTTTAGGTAAACAATGAAGGTTTATGGGTGGGGGATTTGTGAGGATTGTTGAAGTTTGTAGTTTGCATCAAGAATCGACCTTAGTTAAACAATCGCTGTAACTCGCGAATCCCAGTACTAATAATAATCATATTTCCACTAGTAACTAATTTTTAGGGGTACTCCCTGAAGTTTTGACGAGAAGTTATGGCTATTGGAGTTCAATAATGTCGGTAGTGAGACACTTAATCACCAATAGCATTAGATGATGGTTGACTGAAGTTAAAAACATAAGTCACTAAACATTGACTAGATGACCTGAAGAATAAGCGGTTGCTGCGAGGCATAAATATCCTGGGTTCAATTCTTAGCAGTGTCGTGCATGTGTACTACTGAGTAGTTCCATAGTAAGATGAAACAGCTGCCTAGTGCTTCCTGGTTTTCAGCCTGTCCATGATGTAAAACTACAAAATAACTAAATGATCATTACATTGATTGTTAATTGACGATATTATTTCATCATCTTTAGACTATTCTATAATAAGACGAATGCTCTAAAAGTGCAAATTTGCGGTTAACCTTAGATTTTCATTATATAATTATTAAAAACTTGGATTATTGTACTCTTATTTGCCCTAGTTGTAAAATTCTAATTTGATGCATAAACTGTTGTTCTGAGTTATTGTTAATTAATTGTGAGCCAACTTTCACTTATGGTATAATTATGCCCATATTATAGTTTCTTATTTATGTTGGGGTGCGATCTGTAAACTTTTGTCTATTATCACATTACCATTGTCTTCAGTGAGTTACTATCTCACAACAGACACGGTTGAACTCCACTGGTCACGGCTTCTCACCAGAACTCCAGAAAATACCTCTTGAAGCCAGTCACTATTGAGTACATAATGATTATTATCAGAAAGGTCCGGATGCACACTGCTGAAAAGTTCCGTACTAGTACGAAACGGCCGTCCAGTGCTTCCAGGTTTCCCATGGTGGTCTAGCTTTAATAGACTCATGAACTCAACTACTAAATAATTATCATATTAGTTTAAGTTATGCGTTGAACTGTGTTATAATTTCTCTTATTTCCACCCAGCTACATTTACTGCTTAGTAATCTTGGATACTACTTCACTCGACAAGTCCCCAAACCAGAACATGGTTAAACAGGAACGTAATTATATTTCAAACCAAAAGGTTGGATTGAAGTAAGAATCACAATAAAAGCAACATTAGCATATTAATAGTTCTTACATGAGAAGATTCTGGAGTCTTCTCCATGTACCCACTAGCTGTAATTGGATAAGTAATGACCAAACAGAGTGCCCCAACATAATTCCGCATGGAACATGCTTTAATCCAATTTATATCCAGCTAACAAAACTGTATAGTCAAGTTATCAATAGACGCAAACTATTGATCTCTTGATCTAAAGAACATCACTGAAATACTGGCTACTAAAGATCATTGGTCTTATACAGGTAAGTTAGAGTAATACTTGATCTATAAATTATGTAACCACTTATATAATTGTAGCTCGTTCACAAAGGCCTTAACATAATACAAGAATCTTGTTTTAACCCATGACATCAAAATGTATATTTAGTAATATGAACTAATAGTGATTATCTTTTCAATATAATATAATGTAATAATGATAAATATAATGAATTCAACAACTTACATTACCAATTTTAGCTTGTGATAAAAGTCCTGCAAATACCTTATCTCGTTTTATGTATTCAATTAAATGATATTTTACATGTTCAATTTGTTCATTTATATTACCCATTCCTTGACTTATTGTTGATAATGACTGATTTATAGAATTAACAGAATCATTTTGTCTTGGTGTCATTTTCTCTGTTACTTGTTTCATAAGTTCTCGAACTTCTGTCACAGTCATATGACGTGTTTGATCAATACACTAGAGAAATGAATTAAGTAAACTGGATGGAGATTAATATTTCATGTTGACTAAAACATATTATGTTAAAACTTATGATATTCACTTGGTATTATTTACTTGAATCTTCCTATTGGTGTTTAGAACTGCAATAGATCAACCTCCTATTGGCATATGTGCATACTTTGTGTATTGCCTCGATATTACCTTAATTTACTAGCATTAAAAACAAAGATGGATAGTTGCAATACTCAGTGTGCACATATTCCTTTAAGACATTGATCGATTGCAGTGATAAACATCAATGGGAAGATCCAAGTAAACAATACCAAGTGAATTTTAACTTTACCCCATTGCACAAGCAAGTGGCTAACAAGAATCAGTAGCTGAGTGGATAATGCGATAGTGTTTGAAGAGAACGGTACTGGGTTTGAGTCTCGGAGTGAACATCAACTCTGCGATGTAGTTATATCCAGCTGACGAGTCCCAAATAGGACAAAACGCGCGTCCTGGATTTCATTGCCAGCTACTATTCATTTTTGCTTATTATGTTGTACACTTTCTCATTTGGGTATTTCAATTCAATATAAATTCACAGTGATTTATTTGTGCTTGCAAGGAAATGCTTACTAGAACTTTAACAGTCAATGAATAATTTAGTGATTAACTTGATTTTGGAAAGTAGTGGATAAAGCATTGAATTCTGGAATAGTAGATGCTTTATTCGATTCTCAATGCCAATATTTACACATGGACACAAGTAAATTCACGGGAAGGATCCAAACAGAAAGAAACATAAGCCTTGGATTTCACCTGGAGTCACAAACGAAATATATTAGATGGCTTTTGATTTGAAATTTTAAACAAAAGAAATAGAAAATCTTATGGGTATACATAAAATAAAAAGGTTAAAATAAAAACTTAAGTTTATCTCTATTGGGTACTTTGAAGTATCTAAAACGTATCGCCTAAGTCATCACCATAACACATGTAGCAATTGTTAAGCAGTAATAAAATCATGGGTCAATTATTAAAGCAAAGGAGGATGTACCTTTTCATGCGTGCCCATATTTACAATATTGACGCAGTAACTATGCAAACCTAACCACCATCATCAACAATCTATTAGGAGTGCGCTTCATTGGAACCGATTGCTTTTAACACCTTCCCTCGGTAGAAGAGGCACTATTTCTAATGTTGAATATATATGAGAAACAACTATATGCTATTTTAAATTCATTCCCGAACCTAAAATTGACATTTGTTAGTGTCCAATCAGTCTACCTGAAATGATAGATCATTAGGAATACAGTAATGCTATCGATAGAGTGCTGCAGTTCCAATAATTAGTTTCTATCAGATTTCATGTTTAGTGTCATTCCATATTATTTTATCTTATCTGTTTCTTTTAATCTGCATCTTTCATTTGAATTTTTACATCACCAACTGATTGTAGCTTGGCAACTACAGATAACAAATAACATCTAGACACCAGTCTCATCTAAGTTCCGGACTCAATAGCAGAACATCCACAACCACGCGAGGAGTGGAATACAGGATCTTCATGTCCCAGCGAGAGCTTAACCTTTAAACTAATGAGCTGAGATTTAATAGCTTATAGTTTTTAAGTTTAGTTAGTTCTCTATATCAAGCGACAGTCACCCATTCTCACTGATAATCCTTGTCTCATACTGTATATGGTTGAATTGTACTGTATTTCATATTATTTTGCTTTTCATTCGAGTTAATAATATTATTGCCACGTTTGAAACTATCACGAGTTCACTTAATCTGCGAACGAGAACAAAGACTCAGTGATCGAAGACCAGTAAGCTAGCTTGTTGATGAGTCCCAGTCCCGCTAACCAGAGGGAGAAATCTAAGCTTGGAATGGGAAGTATATTCTGCAAAACAGCCAGAAACGAGCGATAACAACAAGCACAATTCAAAACGTATATATACAGTGCAAAAACGTCCTTGGGGAGAATTACCAAATAGCATACTAAGAGACGCAACGGACCAATAGCATTTGAGATATTTCCCAGTGGGAAATACGACATGAAGGTGACAAGAGATTCAAATTGTCTAAATAAAATTACAAAATTAGGTTTTTTCACAAGTGAGTTCTGGAAATCTAACGTCCCCAACAATCATTTATTCACCTCTTGTTTTTTTAAATACTATCCTGATATGAGGTCAAGTAACATGAACCAATAAACTTTCTAGTCAGACCTCATATTGACTATAACCAACAACAAAGTTTATTCTTTATACAAACTGTTACACAGCATTCTTTTATATTCTATTTGCTTAAATTCATACCAAAATATTAAACAATTATCAGATCTAAAGTTTTATGAGCCATAAACTTCAGTCTAGTGTTTATTGTTTTACTAAACAACTGAAGAAAAAATGCTGTATATGTATTAAGGAAGGAATATTTGTGTTAAGAAGATGCGACAAAACGTGGATATGAAACTTGGGTAATTATTCCCTTGGAAAGGGAGAAGTTTTTAAATTCATGACGAATGTTTGTCAACAGCAGTTTTTTATAGTCTCAATAATGATCATTCGACATTGAACTCATTAATTGTTGCTTTCTTTTATTGTTTATAAACTACAACCAGTTAATTATAAATCTGTTATTCAGCTCCTTATAGATGTCGTAGTTATGTATTTATTGAAATTTATTATTTGGGGTAAATTGTGGTCTTATGTTTCACAATTAATCATGTAAGTTATAATAATAATAATAATGAAAGAACTTGAGAAAACTTATCTGGCCATTTAGAGTTTTGACTAGATGTTTGGGAATGGAAGAAAATGTTGAGTGATTTATCAATTATGTAACTAGAACAGTAATGAGATCAGTGTATCCAGTAATTTTAATTGGCTAAGGTAAAAGACAACAGTTTCCTTGCATAAATAATACAATTTATGTCACTTGCTTTTATAGTTCAAAACAATCAGTTCGCTAAATGAACAGTACTTCATTTACTGTTAAACGCGCCATTTATGGCGTAGACGAGATATCCATCTATCAACCAAAGGACGTGTTTACTGCGCAGCAGTTCGTTCCGTCCTACTTTATGGCAGTGAAACATGGCCGATAAGAGTAGAGGATACTCGTAGGTTACTAGTATTCGATCATAGGTGTCTTCGAAACATTGCTCATATATCATGGGACCATCGAGTAAGTAACACAGTTGTTAGGAAACGGGTACTAGGTAAGGATGGCAAATCAATTGATGAAGTAGTCAAACTTCATCAGTTGAGATGGCTGGGACACGTGTTACGTATGCCCAACGACCGACTACCTCGACGTGCTATGTTCAGTGGTATAGGAGTAGGTTGGAAGAAAGCTAGAGGCGGCCAAACCAAAACACCGCACAAGTTCATGAAGTCACTGACAAGTGAACTGAGTCATGTTGGTAGGTGTAGACTACCTGGTTGGGGACCACGAGATGATAGCAACCGATGGTTAGAGACCCTGAATGACATGGCTCAAAATCGTTTGCAATGGCGCAGGTGCATCCACTCTTTGTGTTCTCCCAAATTCTAATCTTCTGAATTCTTCATGTCCCATTTTTCCTCTTTCCAAATTTATTTCACTGGATTATACTCTTTAAATAACATTTCCAAACCCTAATTTTCCCGATTACTGCTTATACTCTTGCTACCTCTACCACTACGGGATTTGAATCGACAACTGCATCTCTGTGCTAATGTGGTGTGGCAACTCGAACTGATGTACGTACGTACGAAGTTCTACGTTGTTACTGACTGACTGACTGACTGTTAAACTGAAAACTGGAGTAATTGTTTATATCAGTGAATATGATACTGAATGTTCAAGACTATAACCTATGGACAAAATAATCAGATATGACTTAGTAAATCTTGAATTCTGGTGAAAAATCCATTTAACCAAATGACTAAACAGCACTGTCAGTTCGTGATGAAAACTCTAGCTCTCTTAATCCTAATCCTCATTCCTCACATTAATTTACAATCCTCTTTTAACCTCAGTCAATGGGTGAATATTCTCAAGGTTACCTCAGAGTTGATCAAAAGTTGTCCATAAATTATAGTCTCTCCGTATTTATACTTTAACTCCATGTTAAATAGATTGGAACATTTGACAAACTAAAGTAATTTATTAGGGTAATAACTAAGTCTCATTTTTTTAAAACATTCTGTTAATTTAATAGTTGAGTTCATGAGTCGATTAAAGTTAGACCACCATGGAAAATCTGGAATCACTGAATGGCCGTTTCGTCCTAGTATGAGACTCCTCAGCAGTTCGACTCTGTTAATTGTTTGAAATAATGCCTACTTCTTTTCTGAAATTTTGTACAATTTTTTATTCCCATTTTAACATTATCTCTTTAATTCAAAATTCCGTTTTATTATATGAATTCTAATCTGGTTTACTATCCGCTCACAAGTTCTGTTTACGTTTTCTTTATCAAAATTCATGTAAACAATCAATATCTATAAGGAAACTATAGTAACCTATTCAAAACAGATTTACTAAGAATAATAATGATAAACACCTTAGTTTTCTTCTTTTTTTTACTTACTTGTGTAAGATGATTTGCTATTGCGCTTAATTGTTGTGGACTTACAAAATTTTCCATATTTATTGATGGTTGTGTAGACCAATATGGTATTGTATTATTATTAAGCATTGGATATGAACCAGAAATATTACTTGAATTCGATGTACGTATATCCCAATTCAAACCTGGCATTTGACCCCATAGATTAATTTGTGTACCTGAATGATTTGTAGCTGCAAAACCTTGATCTGCATTTCCTTAAAGAGAAAAAAATATAATAAGATTCTTTATAGTAAAAAGATCATTTGTGATCATAATGAATTACATAATCTATCTATAGAATTTAATAATACTTTGTATTTTGACACTGCTTACATCATTCAACCAAATTCTTGCATTATATCCTTAATAAACTAATGCTCATTATTATAGATAACCTGAAACACGATGACGGACTGTGAAAAATTGTGTTGTACTTATTATGAGATTTAATTGTGCTGTAAAGAAGTCCCATACAAAGACAAAATCATAATCTAGTATCTCTCTGCGTTTTCAGTCATTGTCTAATTGAAGTTAGTTTCTAATCAAAAACTTCAAATTAAACCATTTTCATAACAATTTATAATAATGACCTGTAATTTATCACAGTGAAGAATAATTATAATGCCATTAAGTTTTGATATTTCACCAATCTATATTTACAATAAAATTTATTATCTATCGTCTTATTGTCAAAGTTCTGAAATTTGGAAGGATAATTAGTTAATATGAAAAAAAAAGATTCATATGTATGCATAGATGTTAAAAAAATTATGATTTTACTAGTTAAATTCATGAGTCGATTAAAGCTAGGCCATCATTGAAAACCTGGAAACATTGGAAGGGCGTTTTGTTCTAATGTGGGACTTCCCAGCAGTGCGCATCCATGATCCTACCCGTGGAATTCGAGCCAACGACCTTCGATCTCGCATCCGAACGTCTAGCCTCTAAACCATTGAACTGACACCCGATGGTGCTAATGTCTAATTTCAACCAATTCACGAAATTGAACCACTGTCGACTATTATCTTCAGTGAGTCACTTCCTAACAACAAACACGGTTGAACTCCATTGGTCACGGCTTCTCACTAGAATTCCAGGAAATACATCTTGAAGCCAGTCACTAGTGAGCACATGATGATCATTATCAGAAGGCGGGATTCGTGGAGATTGTAGTAATTTTGATAGTTGAATTCATGAGTCAATTAAAGTTAGATCACCATGGAGCGAGATCGTGGGTGCACACTTCTGAGGAGTCTCATACTAGAACGAAACATCCGTCCAGTGCTTCCAGATTTTTCATGATAGCCTAGCTTTAATCGACTACTGAATTCAACTTTAAAATTACTACAACCTCCACAAAACCCCTTTCTGATAAAATTCTGATTGTTTATCCTATTGATTCCTGTTAATACTACTATGAACTAAAATTGCGCACAATTTAGTCAAATTGTTGTCAGGATATGTGAACACTAAACGTTATAATCTGAATTTATATGTACACTGAATAATCCAGATACCATATGTTGACCATTTGTAAAGCATATGTATTAAGGATAAGAAAAAAATATGAGGTAATGATGTCAACCAATAACTTACTACGCATAAAGTTTTCAATTACATCATCTGTGTAGTCATCATTTTGCTAGTAAAATACAACAAAAAATGAATTGGTTATAGGATAGAAGGTTTGTAAAGTGTTGAATTTCATAGTTAACATCACTGACTGACATTAGACAATTAGTAAAAACCAAGAAACAATGAACAGCTATTTCGTCCTATTATGCACATCCACTAACCCGTTGGGGATAGAACCCAGGATCTCTGAACCTCGTAGTAAAGGCTTAACCGTCAGATCACTCATCCACCTTCAAATGATTTACATGTCTCGCCCCAGTCAGAACATAACAGTTCAATGATCTAAATGTCAAGCACACGTCACAAGATCTACACATCTTGAGTACAATCCCAGGCGGGTTCATGGATGTACACCGCTTAAAAGTCCCATACTAGAAAAAAATAGCCGTTCATTGTTTCCTAGTTTTGACTGATTGTTTAAGTAAGCTCAGTCAGTGATGTGCATTGTGAATTAGTCATAATTGAAAAATATAACTTACTTTTCGTATTATAGCTGGACTATAAACATTACCATTTACACCATCGTTATCATCATCATCGTAATTATCAAGCATTTCCAAAGCATCACTTGATAAATTTTCTTCATCACTTTCCATGCCAGTAGGTTTATCTCCATTGTGAAGCCGTTTATCTTTATTACCACTATCTATAACTCTAAATTTTCGTGTGACAGTATGACTTTCCACATTTGTTACACTAAGATGAAATATAAGTAAAATGAATAGAAAGAAATCGAGATAAAATATAGAATGATGTAATCTTTGATAAACTTGTTTCTTTATACAGATTTCATCTGTATGATAGATGTTCTGAATTTCAGTAAGTACTCTTAAATATTTTTCTTATAGATAAAGGTAATTATATTACATTTCAATCCTGAAATCAGTATCTTTGATTTGTTGACTATGCACTAGTTTATTAGTTAACCAAATGAAATGTTACAACTCAAAGAAATCAGACATACCTGACTACTTTGGGACGTTAATTCTTATTTCGCTGATTGAAATAATGAGTCAATTGAAGCTAGACCAACATGGAAAACCTGGAAGCACTGGACGGTCGTTTCGTCCTGGTATGGGACTCCTCAGCAGTGCGTACCCATGATCCCACACCCCGCGACATCCAAACCCAGGACGTATCAGTCTCGCGCCAGGTGCCTAACCAACTAGATCACCGCGCACTGCTGAGGAGCCCCATACCAGGACGAAACGGCCGTCTAGTGATTCCGGGTTTTCCATAGTGGTCTAGCTTCAATTGACTCATGATTTCAACCAGTTAAATTTCTAAAATCTCCACAAAACCCCTTTTGTTAATTCTTATTCTCAATCAAAAATTTATTATTCAATTTATAACTCTGTAAAAAGATATATTGACTGAATATTATGCAGGCAAGCAATAACTTTAATCCCAGTAATCATAGTTAAATACCCTACTGATTATGTACTTTAGAATTTGTTTGATTGAGATTTGATTGTATCCCGTGATTAAAATCACTAATTGGACCACCTAACTCAATCTTGTAATTTAATCAATCATTTAAACTATCATAATAGCTAGTAGATGTAATCAAAAACGTTTAGCAAACTCGTTGTTTATGAATGATTATAAATACACATTCAAAGGCAATTAATTCTTTTGCAAATATAATTGGACACTTATCTGTGTCAGACGGAATGCCCAATAATAATTACAATTTTAACTTACATGATTTTAAAAGTAGAGACCATTGTTATCATGAACAGTATACGAGTGATTTGGAGCGTTAGATTTATAAATACACAAGACAAAAGTCATGCCTAATAGTCAGGTTCTAATTTCATTGGTTGATGAATTAACTATAAGGACATCTATATAATAATTTTGTGAATGTTTCAAGTAACATTATTAGTGTTTATTATTGTTTGGCGATAAACATGACGGGATGTTTCGGCTTTTGGAGGAAATTGAGCCGCAGATTTCGCATTATTAATGCATCTCATCTGAACACTCCTATCTGTGTCACAGATCACATTTTTTTCTTACTGAAAAATACACGCTCGTGGTCATAACCAAGTAGTACATGCTTCTAGTTTACAAAACAGGTTAATTTCAGCTAAACAACCACTGAAAATCAGAAATAATTGGACAATAGAGTGAAAAATATACTTGCCATCGGTAATATGTCTTATGCCCGGTGGTGGCTGAACTCCACCTATTACGGCTTCCCACTAGACCTTTGGAAATGCTTCTCAAAGTTAGTCACTAGTGAACACAGCTCTTACGCTTATAAACATTTGTGCTTTGGCAACATGATCATCTTATATTGAGTATAATAAATAATCGTCTTATGATAGATTCGATACATAATGAAGGAACAGTTTTGATATCTTCTTTGTTTTGCAAAACACGTCAATTTTTGGATTAAGCCAAATGATTACCTGTGAACAGCTATTGCTTTAACAACTCTTTTACCAGGACGAAGGGCGAATGGAGCTTTATACACAAAAGTCACTTCACGACCATCAACTTTTCTCTTCCATGGGTTAGGATTTTTTCCATTTGTTGTGAAATATAGTCGTGCGTTTGGTGTATCTATAATAACGGTTTTATGTGAAGGCATGAAAAAAACGAGAATGGTCATGAGTTCATAAAATTCATCAAGTGTTTAGTTAAAATTTAAAACAAATTTCGCAACAGTATCTTGCAAACCAAATTTTAAAATTTATCGAATAAATGCAATTGTGGTTGTAATAGAGCTGAAGTGGGAAGATTTATAATTTATTAAACCACAGATTTAAAGACAATAAACGGTTAATTTATCAGTGAAGTTACTTTTTAAGTAACCTGAATTTTAATAAACTATATACTAGTGATCTTAACAAGATATCAACAATCGTTAACTATGTAGTTTGATATAATGGGTTTGAATGCTCACTATAAGAAATGGCATCAGTCAATGAGAAAAATAACTAAAAAACTGACTGATATCGACCGATGAGAACTTTTGGGTCAGTTTCAGCATGAAATCGTGGATGATAATTGTCAAATTAAGGTAATATGACTTCAAATTAGTTCGCCTAGTGCACTTGAATGTATTCATTATCTTTCGCTAAAAACTGAGCTTGATGTCATTTTATATCCCTTATTGTATGATACCATTAATTCATTTTGAAATAGGTTCATCATTATCAGGTTCAACTCTACAGTTGATATTTTACTTTCAACACTTCTCACCCTCCTAACTTTTCTTCAGTGGGCCAAAACGAGTTATGAAAACTTTGATTAGTAAATGTTTGTACCAAGTTCTATGAATAGCGGACTAAAATGCGTTTAAATGACCGAACATTGTTCGGTCACTATACTTTATTGATTATAAGAGTTTTGTCGTTTAATTTCGTAAACCGTAATATGCATTTAATCTTAGCGTTTTACAACCACGTCTTCTTGAAATCTAAACCAGAGTTTGCAAAATACCTCAAGTTTTAATCAAATTATTATAAATATAACTATCAAGCACCGTTTATTTATTTTGAGATAATCACGAGGTCCGGTTGATTCAGGGCTGTAGTTTCACCTGATATTACTGACTTTCAAACACGTAGAGGCATATCGTTATCCACAATCTAACTAATAATTTTATTACCTGATACAATTTCAATAAACGTTTGGGTATCAATGCAACCTTGTAATGTTTCTTTATCTTCTGACTTTAATGGTATAATTTTTGGTGCTGCAATACCCCCAGTTATTGGCATTTTCTGTAAGGATTAAGCAATTTATGAGTATTAGACAGAAATATTAAAATTCAACTTAATGAAAGAAAATTAACGGGAACAAAAATCAAGCAGATAAAAATAATTATATAAATGGCAGTAAATACTCAACATGAAAATATGGCTCAGGAGAAATGCGTGGGGAAGTACAATCAGGTAAATATCTTAAGACCGACAGTCTAAAGAATAACAATGAATTTGATCTTCATCGTCATCAACCTTTAATCATACCATATGAGGTCCCCGTCCACTAAGTACTAGAATGTTCAACACGTCAACATCCGAAGTCCTCAACACAGTTCGGATAAACAGTCGGTGCTTTATTGAAGTAATTGGACACCTTGTTCAATGTAAAAAGTTAGATTCACTGAAAACACGGTGTGCTTTTACTTCTAGATAATAAGTTCGTGATAAAGTTACTACAGCCTTAATTTTATCCCTCTTCAGTACTTACCGGTCATATCCAAAGTAATAGCAACAAGGAGCTGCGGATTTGCTACTTACTCAGATATTTGAAAACAATGCATCTACATCAAGAGAAAGCCTGTGTCTTGACACACATGAAAATGACAATCAAAAAATCCATTTTTAAGACGTCCGTCATGGGTTATTTATCCCTTAGACAATTTTGCTCCTTCCTTAAGTTGTTACTTTGATGACAATAAATGGGAGCAACTATCCTTGATTTTTCAAAAAACCACTGGAGTGTGATATTTTAGACAGGCAATACGCTGAGTTTATGCCTCACAAATTACATGCAAACTTCTATCTGATGTCTTGAATAGTCTTTTTTTATAAAAAATACGTGAAAGTAAAGCCATAGAAGACTAAAACTAGACGACGTCTGACCGGCTACAACACTCCATTGAGTAGTATAATTTATCTTTGACGCTACAAATTTAAGACGTTTCTCGTCAATTTCCATGCTTTCCAAGTATGAAAGTTTTACATACCTTTATTTGGGAAATAACATCTTCGCCCATACTATCAGTTAGCTTTATTCTTAGATTATCATCGGAATACTTGTAAATAAAGTCATTTTTATAAAGCGGTGTGCTGTTACTGAGGCCAGGTATATTGTATATTACTTCTGATTTGTGAGAAATTGTTTATCTTTTTAGATATGCTTGCTGCTATGATTTTTCTAGTCTTTGACTATAAATTAAGGCGTCCGCCGTAATGGCTTTAAGAAGTACCCTGTGATGCAGAGAAACATCAGTAATAAGACATAGCAACAGGAATCCTGAATATTTCATGTTTGTCAGATTGTGGTGTGCGCTACTGATGTCGACTGACATAAGTAATATGTATTATCAACCAAAAGTCAAATACGTGGCGGCAGAAAGTTAAGATCAAAGAAAAGAGAACGAGAACAAAGAATGATTGATGTAGAATCGAAGGGACAATGAAGTCTGGGACGATTGGCTGATACTTTGCAAATGGGGTATTTAATGTATAGCTTTCAGGTTCTGCTAAGACATTTGTTCACTGCAATATGCGTGTCGTCTGACCTTAGGTACGATTATAGTCAAGTATTTCGAGTGAGAAAATGACATCTGATTGGTTGTTCAGAACCCAAGTCTCAAGTTTTGTCACAATATAAAATAGTGATTAAATCTCGTTCTGTATTAGTTACTCCCCCATTGTATTAATAATTGGCTTAAGCGATTGATATATATAAAGTGCTTAGTTAAAATCAATTAAAAGAGGGAAGCTAGTTGACTTTAACGTGATAAAGCCACATGTGTTTCATAACCTTGACCTAAAAGCATCTGGTATCTATAAAGTAATCATTCACTAAAAAACTAAACCTTGCAGAGTTTTTTGGTCTGAGAGGAGAGCGTTTATGAATATCGTCCTCTACTATTTATTTATTAATAGTGTTCAAACTTGAACACTAGTACCTGACTATTTGAATGCACAAGTGGATGCAACTCTAAGCCTCTGGTGGGTTCATATCTCGCCTAAACGTGTCTCGTATGTTGTGAGAGTGCACGACAGTGAGTGAAAGAATCTAGGAATTAAAAGAATGCAGAAAAAAGTGAGCAAATGACCTAGTTAATACACAAATTTCACCTACATTTAGGCATAAAATCAAAATAAAACAGTAACAAACTATGCTCCCGTGAGACTATGACAATCTGACAATCGGAACTAGAAGTTCATATCGTAAAGCTACGATTAAGTTACATAGCCAAGCATCAAACGGTTGGTCACTTACAAGGTCACCAAGTCACTATACGAGCAATTGTTAAGAAAAATAAAACAAAAGATATGAGAACACTATGTTTTTCGCCACCACTTCTAAAGTCTTCTACTTTAAACTCAAAATTTTTATACACTGATTGTTTGAACAATAGAGTTCGTTCCCCTCGCTTAAATACAAAACATAAGAGATTTCCATCTGACAAGCTAATTTTACAGCTTAAATACTTTGGAAGACGCATCTAAATTTACAAGTATGTAAGAGAGTTGAAAAGTGATAAGGGCAGCAATCCCCGTTATATGAAGGAAACGCCAATGCGAGTTGGAATCTCTCGAGATTTTTTTAAATTTATAGTATGCAGTAATACACCCAAACATACCATGGTTATAAGCTTAGTTTCAGAGAATTTATAGTCATTGAAGCAAAACTGATCAGTAAATCACCCTCAGAAGTAGAAGTATATCTGCTAATAAAGATTGATCACCAAACGTGGAACTAAATGTCCTTCAGACCCACCCACGGGGAAATCTCAGATGTGTAGTGACTCACATTTATCACGAGAACACGACTGGTTTAATAAAAACAATTATTATTATAACCAACTGTACCAGTGTTTGTTTTAATGTGCTTTTGTCTGACTGTGCTAATGACAGCTATATTGTGCTTCCATTCTTATACTCACACTTTGATTGTGACTTCGCGCGAATTCGGTTACGTTCTGTAACCAAGCTTGTATCCTGGCACGATTTCGGTATCCTTTCGATACCACGAGATCGCCAGCGAATATATCTCGATTTGGTCCATTAACTGTCTTCTGATATTTGGCTTCTCGGGGATTTTGTGGATTTATTTGGTTACGTTCAACCTTCGCCTTCTGATTTACTTGGCACGTGTTTCTCTGTAGCGGTGTTCATATTCAATCTCGACTCGACGCCACACTACAGATGTTTCAGATGAAGTTTTTTATCAGGATCTCAGAAAGTCAAGCTACCCCAAATTTGCTCTAATTTTATTACGTTTTTCCTATCTCGTTCCGGCTGCAGACATTGTTAGCTTTGAGGAGACCATACGTTCTTAGATTAGACCAATCCTACGAGCATAATTTGCAAGTTTCCCACCACTTGTGTCAAGATTTGGTACCTTACGTTACACCTTTTTCAAACATACAACTTCGATTAAAGTCATTGTATTTATTAAATTCAGATGGTCTACACGGTTTTTTTAGAGAATTCTAGTGTTGTAGTCGAACTTCTAGAGACTATCCTCTTAATTTCCAGCTGAGGCGATCGAAATTCTTACAATACTTGTATACACAGCAATTGACTGTAGAGTCTTGGTGAATTACGGTTTTCGTCATCGGTATACCTAAGAGGAAACATAGAACTAACCAAATTTATCAACTTTTATACCCATAATGGCCGTACACTTATCGTCTGTATGCCAAATCGCTCATAAATACATGACATATATAACAGTTTTCGGAAATTCACAAAACTACTACCCAAACACCCAATTGTAGCCCAGTGGTATTAGTCCTTTGAATCTGAGCGTATAGTTACTGAGATTCGCTGTCGATATGTAACACTAAGAGAAGGTTGTGAATAGTCAACGCTGGAAGAATGAATCGGTATAGAATGGCTCAGTCTTGCAGGTGTGGTTGTTCCATATGAAATATATTGTTCTATTCCCAGCTTAAACGTGTTCTTTAGAAGTGCTAGCATCGCGTTGCAGACTGTCGCGATACGATAAATCAGTGTAGATAATGATGTGACTTCCATGTAAGGTCATATAGATTAGATAGTCACATCATTGCAAATCTACAATTTCGGGATTAGGTCTATCATTTTTATTGGAAAGCATCCCCATGACACTTAATCAATCATAGAATCGAAGAGCAATCACTAAAACATAGATAGATATATTTGCGTTAGGCACCTACTATCAGTACTAACATTGACATCAAAGATTGAGTCCAGGACGTCTAAAAATCAGCAGGAAAATCCACGGAATTTAAGTAAAAAAGTGCTTGATGAAAACTATATAACGTTGAAATGAAGCAGAGCGAAGAAATTTGGCGTATCAAATTTAAAGTTCACGAAACAATACCTCCAATTTATTTTGCTTTTGCTTACAAACACGTTTATAGGGTAGTTGAGTAATTTAGAACTGATTTGTGATGGAAAATAGTTTCATTTCGCCTCGTATTATTTCTCATACATTTCAACGTAATAATTGTCCCGTAGCTATGTTTTTGAGTGAGTGTACGTGATCAGCTGCATGTATTTTTCTGCCCATTCGTTCTATTTACTTGCTTCAAGAACAGTCGCGTTAAACGCTTCATGTGAATGTCAAACTGACTACTTACACCCAAAAGCCCAAACGTTTTAGCATGCTGAATATATATAGTATTCTAATTGTCGTATGAATTAGGAATTCCAGGATTAACGCAATTGAATTAAGAAGACACAGGCACCAACGAATGTATTGTATTTAGAATTCGAAATCAAGCATTCAACCAGTACAAAGGTATCATTGGTTCATTCAAACACCACATCCGCCACAGCTTAAATTGGAGTCTAGGTGTTTGTAATCAATCGTACGTCTTCTTCTCAAATTCATCCTGAGTCTGTCTGACATTGTATTGGATAAGGATTCTGTATTATCTAGAATATGCTCATTAGCATTAGAATTAACAATCGAAGTTGGAACTGACTCACCTGGTTCCTGAAATTGTATTTGATCTAAATGTCGACTGTGTGTACTTAAGTCATCGATGTCTAGAATTCGCACCATCGATTTTCCGACATTCTTCAGAACAATACCCATAGATGGTCGAAGATCATTTCCTCGATAGTATGTAACTTCTGCAGACTCCAGACATCTCATATTCGACCGAAGAATTCTTCCGTTCAATAGCGTCGCTGGAGTCTCCTTCGTCACCGAATGTTTGGCATTTCTATATTGCAATAGAAAGGTATCTACTCCCCTCTCCAGCTCATTAAATGTTGAGGGGGCTATAGAATCAATAGCAGTCTTTAATGTCCTGACAAAATTCTCTGCCTGAACATTAGAACACGGATGTTTGGGAGCAGTAAACAGATGTTTGCATCCTATACCGTTCAATCAGGTAGTGACTGCATCTGCAGCAAAGTGAGAGCCATTATTAGTCACTAACACCATAGGAACACCTTCTCGACTAAACACCTTTCTTAATGCTTGTATTGTGAAATCAGAATTTGGTGAAGTTGTGAAAAAAACTTCAGGCTACTTTGAAAAAGAATCAATGACTACTAGTGCGTAGTATTTACCAAGAAATGGTCCACAATAGTCAGCATGAATCCTCTGCCAGGCCTCAGACGATACTGGCCATGGCACCCACTTCGAAGGATGATTTTTCAACTGATGACATTTCTCACAATTGTTTGCCGTACGACATATATCTGCATTTATCTCTGGCCACCAGCATGTGAGTCTTGCCAAGGACTTCATTTTCTCAACACCTAAATGACCACTATGAAGATCTTCAAGAACAGATTTACGCAATGAAGGAAGAATGACAACACGATCATTTAAACACAGGATACCATCAGGAGTAGTAGATAACTCATCCCGCTTTGAAAAATAGACAGGAAATCTACGTTTCAAATTAGCATTCCAACCTTTCCTTATGGCACTGAGTATACATCCAAAATATCTACGCGTTTCTCTAATGAGATCTGAACGTCTCACTAGTAAAGGTTGCATTAACAAACAATCCGAAGTATTAATAGGTTTATCTTGTAATGACTGTCGAGAAATGTAATCAACGTGTTGAATTTGTTTGGAACTTCTGTGCCGAACCATATAGTCATAAGCACTCAAAGCAATAATCTACTGTTGGACCATAGCAGCTGAGGAACGTGCTAATGATTCTTCAGGATGACAAATGACCTTTAAAGCTTCACGATTAGTAACAATGGTGAATTTCTTTCCGAACAAATATTTATGAAGTCTTTTAACAGCCCAAAACACAGCTAATGCTTCTCGCTGAGTCTGTGAATAACCTTGTTCAGTAACAGTAAGTTTGCGTAAAACACAAATAACTGGTCTGCCTTCCTGTTCCAAAACTGCACCAATTCCCACAGGTGATGCATCAGTAATAAGCACAGAATGTACATTAGGGGAGTATGTTCGAAGAACAGGATCACTTTAAAGAAACTTCAGCAGACTTCGTAAGCATGACTCTTGTTCCTCACTCCAGTTGAATGAATTGGATGTTAAAATATTAAATAAACAATTTGCACGACAAGGAAAATTAGGAATAAAACGGGAATAGTATTGAAGAGCACCCACTAGTGAACGTAATTCTGTAAGATTTTTCGGAGACGGTGTATTAGTCAGTGGAGCTAGTCGTTTCATATCTGGTCTAAAACCATTGCCATCAACTAGGTATCCAAGGCATTCAAAACTAGATACACAAAATGAACACTTATTTGGATTCACTGTAATACTCCTCTCAATTAAACGACGCAATAAAGTAATAAGTCTCTGGTCATGAACTACCTTATTAGAACCATGAACAATGAGATCATCTTGATAAACTTCAACACCTTCAAGATCACTAACTACTTTATTCATAACTTCCTGAAATATGGCTGGAGAACAACTTAGACCAAATGGAAGGAAATTGTATTAGAACAGACCAAAAGGAGTGTTAATTGTCGTCAAAATATATGAAGATTCATCTAAAGGAATTTGAAGATAAGCATCTTTTAGGTCAACTTTCGAGAACACTTTAGAACCATGAAGTCGATTTAGAATATCTTCAGCTTCTACCGTCGTGCACGTTTGCTTCAACAAACGGGAGCTCGGAGTTAATCTATAGACACTGCAAATTCTAGGGGTCTTGCCGTCCGACTTCAGTGGCGTAACGATAGGAGTACCCCATGCTGAAGACTGAATTGGTTCAATTATGCCTTTCACACACAAGTCGTTTAATGTCTTCTGTACTGCTTCTCGAAGACCATAAGGAATTATTCGTCTTTTAAGAAAGACAGGATCACCCTGTACTTGAAGTTTTATAGGCTTAATTTTCATACCTCCACTGCACTTAGCACACTTAGCTATCAAATCTTTAAGTAAAGTATCAGAATTTTCTTTAGAAACTAAGAAGGACAACTCCATTTTAAGCCTTTTCAAATTCTTTTAACCCAATATTGACAGTCCGGTTTCGCTAACTAAAAATTCACAAGGTATGTATGAAGAATTATCATCTCTGATTAGCAATTCACAACATCCTCGTATGGGCAGTCTGTGTCTAGTAATCCCCAGTATTGATACTTCAGTGGGTCGTACAACAACGTTAGGATCTAAAGCTTTCAAGTTCTTGAATGAAATAATGGACTCTATACTGCCTGTGTCCACAATAAAGGCATGACATGAACCAAGCGATGTGTATAAACGCTTCTGAATATGAGCATTACCTTTCGAAATAGTAGACAAAGACAAATGATCACTAGAAACATCCGAATTATTGAAATTAAAATTACAAGATTTAGTACAGCTCGAAGCAAAATGGACAGTAGCTTTGCATACTGACTGAATGTGTCCTACCTTACCACATTTAAAACATTTGGCACTACGAAATACACATGAATTGCGAGCATGAAACTTTCCACATGATAAACGTTTACCAAACTTCATCTCACCGTTGTGATTTGCTTTGTAATTCCTCGTTGAAACACATTTCATATTTACACGAGAATAGGAATCACTGTTAAATGAATGCAAGTTTGATTGACCCTGAGATTGTAGTTCATCACGACGACTAAGCAAAGTATTAGAAATCTTCATCGACTGGATATCAAGTTCATTGACTGCTTCGTAGTTAATACATGCAGTTCTAGCATCTTGAAAGGAACAGTTTGGCATTCTTAACAGCTCTCTTTCCAAACTAGGTATGTTAATTCCTGCAATTAATCAATCTCTCAGTTGCACATGAAGTTCATCACCGAAATTACACTTGGTAGCTTGTTTCTGTAATTCAAGGATGAATTCCCGAACCTTTTGGTCATTTTGACGAATCTTCTTATGAAACTGCGCCCTTTCACGGCATTCAAAACTGGTGCATTTTACATGACTTAAAAATAGCTCTTTAAGAGTTGCATAAGGGAGTGAGATAGGTTTTTCTGGATATGCTAAAGTTTTTAATAAGCTGTACGCTTCTCTCCCAGTGAATGTGAGGAAGTGTGCCACAATATTAACATCCTCATCATTTTCTTTGGTCATACTCCAAATTTCGAACCTTTCCAAATAATCCTCAAAAGCTTCAGGAGTTGAATGAATATCCAACTTTTCCATTGCAGGTTCCATCACGACGCCAATATAGTATTCTAATTGTCGTATGAATTAGGAATTCCAGGATTAACGCAATTGAATTAAGAAGACACAGGCACCAACGAATGTATTGTATTTAGAATTCGAAATCAAGCATTCAACCAGTACAAAGGTATCATTGGTTCATTCAAACACCACAATATATTCTTTCTTTGTCTAGACTTTGTCGGTCTCATTTTTCGGACCTTGTATTACAAATAAGTCGTTATAACAATTACTCTATATTTTCTGAATATTATATGCTGTATATAGTCTTTCCGATAGCTCCATTCATGTCAAACTGGCTATGAAGTATATAGACGAATTTTCTAGTCTTTTCTGCAAACTTCTGAGCGACATGAGTCCAAAACTCTTATGATGCAATTTTTTGGAGATAATCTCACAATGTGGTAACACCAAACCATTGCCATATTTCATCCACATTGGTCAATGAATACTTGACGTTAAATGTTGAAAACCATTATTGACCAAAGCGGAAACAGGTACTACGGAAACGAGTATTTTGTACCAAAATATATTCAATGAAGTTTCTTACAAATGATGCCGCAGAATGCCAAAACAAGAAGATTCTGAATGGATAGTTGTGTGTGATCTGAAACAAGAAGATCAGACATTTAATAACCACTAGTTGTACAGATATTCGAGAGAGTTTGAGGTCATTGTGGTAGACCTATTACACAGCGCCTAGAATAAGTGTAGCGGGAATCCCTAATTTAAACACACAAACCTACTACTCAGTGTAGAAACAATAAATACAGAGCTTATACAAAATGGGGGAGTAGGACACTTCTTATCTTTAGTGTTTTGATCCTAGAAAAATATAGACCAACTCCTAACTGCCTAATTTGGACTACCGTAAGATCAGGTGGGTTAAGGTCTACTCTCATCTGTGGTTCTGGTACATTTGCCCGGCCTACACGATTGACGAACCTAAGGGGCCGCCCTTGGAAAATATTTCGTGTTGTGTGGTCAAGCTAACTGAATCCAAAATAGCGTGCACAGAAGACAGAAGTCACAGGAAAATGTGAGCTCCTGAACTCCTACACTAACGTTGGAAAACTAACCAGGAATTCAGTAAGCAGCTTCATGGCTATACGGACAAACTCTCACTCTCACGCACTGAAAGTTTCATTTTAAGGTTCATTAACAAAAAAGGATAATGGGTTGCTGTCACAAATAACCGGAACAATACGGTAACCAACGTGGTAAAAATCGTGGAGCAAGAGATATGCTACCAACATGACCTACCTAATTTTAACGTCGCATCGATCAGTGACCTGAACATATGGTTATTCACATCGGCTATGGCTGTTGTTGAAGGGTGTGGATAAGGTTAATACTCGTCATAGTAATAGAATAAGTAATGATAAACTTTTTGTCGGATTAATTACATAGTTCTCAACAGTTTGAAGATGTTTTGTAGCGTGTGTTTTGGTACCAGTACCACCAACAGTGTTTGCCACTATGTACTTGTAAATATCTCTTATGTGAATATTTTCTTAGTAGAGTTTGAGAGTTTGTAAAGGCTTTAAGAGTTAAAGAAATGGGTTGCAGAAATCAGCACTCTGGATATGGGATATGTAACATCTTTCCCTCATGTTGCGCCAGTCAGTAGAGAGGTTCCTGGTTAATTCCAGCCTGCAGAAAATGCTGATTTACCCACTGTCTCTTTTAAAAATAAGAAACAAGTTGCAATTGTAGCATCTTGAAGAAAAATACTCGTCAGAGACATTAAAATGAATATGTATGAAATACACATAGGTTTATAGATTTCACAAGCATTCGGAGTTTGACATCACCTTAACCAGTAACGCCCTTTATAAACGAAGCATGCCAAACTAATCAAATCAGAAGTCAGAAGTGAGGAGGTTCAAAGATATAATTGGTAGGCTGCCAATATATCTAAAAGTGAATAGTTGTAGTTGACTAGCGGTTGTAGATGTGTAGTACAGCGTACCCATTTGTGATCTGGTATGGATGCATGACTGAACGCCTTCAACTAGGTTAGTCCAGTAAAACTAATGAAGTCAGTAAACGTCAAGGACTTACAGAGCTATTGATTTTGGGGATTTATTTACCGCTACGGGTTAAAATTTGGTATAATTTTCTAACATGTCCTTTGGAATATCCGACCATCAGTAGCCTACCAATAAAGATGTGTAGCTGTATTGAAAAGGATAGAAAACCATTGCCCAGGTTTTTTTACGAATCTGAATCAATAACATATAAGGAGGAGGGTGAAGACGGTATGAAAGAAAGGTATATTTGATTGTTCGCTGAAGAGGGAAACATAACACTTATAGATTGGCCATATTAGGATGCTAAAGGCACTTCCTGTCAAGTTATACCGTGATATGATGATGCTTGACAGAGCTTCCTCGACTAGCAGTGGCCATTAAAAAAAAGTCTGTACATTTAACACAAGTTCAGCGTAAGTGCGGAGTGCTTCCGTAACACCTGATTTCAGAGAGTTATTGTTACATCTGTCAATCCAATAAATGTAATAACTTTAAATGGCTCTTTTAATACACAACGGTCAGTTTGTTAGACTTGATTCACTCTATTTATGTGAAGATATCAAAGCATAACACAGCATCAAGATGAAAGCATGACTGTAACTAGCTTTAGCAACCCTATTATTACATTTATTATTGAAAGGACTGACTAAACTCAAATCCTCAAGGTCGCTCCCAAAGATGCCTAGTATAAGCAGCGGGTGATTAGATCCTCCTGCTAAAATGTGATATATGATGTGTTCTGCTAAAGTTGCCGACGTTATTCCAGCTGTTGTCGCCTGGAGTCTTATAGTAGGTATCACGGCGGTATACCTCACCTTCATGTAACACAGTTTTTACCTATATTACTCACTCTTAAATAGTTGCTTCCAGTTCGCAGCAACTTACTCCTGGTCTATATTTGTTCTTCATGCTATCCTAGTTTTCTATGTGTTATGCTGTCTAACGCGAACAACTTTCATGGATCCTGGTTATTTTCCTTTCGGTAGGTGATCTCTCTTTACATTTATCTCTCGCCAGCAACGGAAGGAGAGGCTGAATATGAAGAAACCAAATCTGCTCCTGTTCATCGTGAATATAATATTAATGGAGTATTGGCCAAAGTCAAGTGGTGCAGTACATGTTTGTTCTACCGTCCCCCAAGGTGTTCACATTGCTCTATTTGTAACCGGTGTGTGGATGTAAGCATCAGGTTAATTATATTACTCCTTGGTAGACTTTTGATCATCATTGTCCTTGGGTCAATAACTGTATTGGAAAAAGAAACGCGCGTTACTTCTTCATGTTCTTAATTTCGCTTACACTTCATATGATTGCCGTGTTTAGTATAACCCTAGCATCATTATTACTTAACGATCAGCCTATCGTATTCTATACAAATATTATACGGTATCCTTTGTGCCATATGGGTTTGTTTTCTATATACTTTCCCGACCCTAGTTCTTTGTGTCCTCGTTTTTGCTTACATAGGAACACTAGAAATACATGGTTGTCATTTAGCATCGATAAATTCTTTTACATCAGATCTTTGGATATTTATCGTTTTAACTATTTATCGCATCCACAAATATTGAAGAAGTAAACTAACAGCAATTTAGCTCATCTTGTTTCTCTACTTATTTGGCCATGAGGCAGCTTAGATGTAGTTATTTCAAAGGTCAGGAGAAATTAAATCTGTTCTGTTTGTAACTGCCACCTAAATAATTTTCATCAATATTGAGGGTAGACGTTCATGCTTTCAGAAACTCCTATTCAAGTCGCCTTGGTACCACACCGTCAAGCTAACCGCGAAATTCCGGGTGTGCAACTCGGATACTGGCAGTTCTGACCCGTGTTTGTAACGACGGTCTCCTCTACGTTAAGTGATTTTTTCGACCATCGTTGTCGCCGAGGAATTAGTTGTATACAGAACCAAAATTCTTCATGAAATAATGCAGCATATTGAATTCATAGTCGTCTTAGTCTGACAGCAATTTCCATGTGGGATCGTAACGATTATCCAACTCAGTGACTTTTGAAGTTATCACATGAGATTTATAACTAGTGGTGACTCTGCAGGATATACAGTTGGTTGTACATTAAGGGATGTAGAGTGGTGACTTATTAAAAAATACCTGTATTTCAATCATTGGGATCCGTACTCCGAGCCATTTATTTCGGTTTGAGGAGCTACGTAGTATCTGTAGACTTGACGAAGTGCGACTCAAATGTAAGCACAAACAAATAATTGGCCACCTCTGGAAGGGGTACGGTCTTTATTTATTTCCGTCTATAATGTTACATTTAGTGTTATCATTCTTGCCAGTTTTTTACGAATTGAATTCTTAAGAAATTATCTTACTTGATTCAGGTCTTGCTGTGCCAAATATTTTCGTGTTACACATAGACGAAATGTGTATTTTTCGACAAGTTAGCCTGTTTTTACTTAATTTATGAACAATCGAGTGTAGCTTGATCCGTTTCTTGGCGTTGGAAATCCTACTTAACTACGAGTGTCACAAAACCCCAATTTTTTCCGATTAGATGTAGAAGCCAAACATTAAAAACTTAAGAGCAACCGTTTCTGTTCAGCATCCTTTATATCTATAACGACAGTACCAGCAGAATTTCTAAAAAAAATACGAAAAACATACATCGACAATGTTTAGTTTACTCAACTCAAAATTAGCTTACAATTTTGTCACATCTGACTTGTTTCCTATCACTATTTTTGATTCAGTTTTGGTTATTTTACCACCTTAACTCACCGTTATAGAATTATTACACTTTCTCTAGTTGGTGTTAGTTTTATTCCGGTTTTTGGACTAACTTCATTCCATGTATATCTAATATCCCGAGGAATGACAACCAATGAACAGGTTAGTTATTTTTCAATATTTCCCTTAATCGTTCTACATGTATTTTTGTCCTTTTAAAATGAAAACTAGCAATTTTGTTCTAATAGTAGTTGATCAGGCTAAAAAGAGTGTGAAATGTACTTTTTAACAGACGATTCAATGCAGAAAAGGAGGTAGTAATTACAGTTATTTTGTTAATCTAGTGAAATATTCTAGTTAGTCCCTTTTAATCGTTTTTTTAAGAGAGCTACACGTTATCATGATACTATTATACTGTTCGCTTTTCTACTAAAACTGGTATAATGTTTTTCCATTAAACTATCAAGTGATTACTGCTCTCCTTTATTCAGTAATCGTAATGTTCCCAAAATAGTCGAGTCACTGGAGTTTACAACTTTTTGCCATTTGGTTTCACAATCAATCCACTGTAAAAATAACTTTCAGTTGGTTTATATGGTTGACCACTTTATCCACGTGCTGATTTCACTAATAAGTATGTACAATTTTAATGTGCCACCTAAGTTACTTATTATGCCCCGATCGAAGCTGCTACCTTGACGCGGTGGTCGGGCTTGCCTATCGTGATGACCCAACCGAGCTATATTGGCTGGAACATATGTTCCTGCAGGTTCTACCATGCCAGGCAGGTCGATTGGCGAACGGTAAGACTAAAAGCAGCAACTCAAGGTCTGAGGGCGAAGTCGTACTGCTGACTGTAGAGAGGTGTGACAGCAGTAAGGTGTTTCCCTCGGACAACCAGCATGACAGCGATGCTGCCTTCCCACTAGGAGGGGTGGGGTTAGAAAAGGTCGACCCTAAAAATGCACACCTCACCTTACCTCACGGATTTCCGTCTCCGGCGGTCAGGCCCCTTGAAGAACGGAGCTAACACGTCAAAAACCTTCCACAAAAAGGCCGTGCGCGACCGGCCTCAAGCAGTTGTCCCTTGGGCTCTGCGGTCACGCTCCCAGGTCGTCAAGACCAACACTAATCCGATTTCCTTTTCAGGTCCCTCAAGAAGTACCCTTCCACGGTGTGGGCAGCCGGGAAGTGACATCAGCCCTCATACCCGTAACAGCACAAGAGACCAAGGTGGTCACATTCAAATCCTTCCTACATCTCCTAATACCTCTCTTATCCTCCCGACTAACCCTCCTCACGTCTCTTTATCACCTCGCACCGCTAGGGCAAACGATTCGAGTACGTGGAACGCCATTCCTGGTCTCCTGAAACCACGCTCTAAACTACACGTAGGAGCTTTTAACGTACAAACACTTTGCCAAATAGGACAGCAGGCTTCCTTAGCTAAAACTTTAGAATCTCGCGCCATCGATGTGTGCTGCGTCTCCGAAACGCGCATACAGGATCCAAGTAGAGTCATTCATTTGACCTCACCATGCCAAAATAAAGAACCGACTCGATTTACGCTTCGTGTATCTGGAAGCCCTGATTCTACTTCCCGTGGCCTCGTCGGCGTAGGTATAGCATTGAGTCCTAGGTCAGAACTAGCTCTCTTAGAGTGGGTCCCAGTAAACAGTCGTTTGTGCGCTGTCCGACTGAACGGAACAGTAAGAATCCGGAAAGATAGGGACACTCGTCGTTGCCTCTTCGTCGTCTCTGCCTATTCTCCCACTGACTGCAGCTCAGATGATGTAAAAGATGAGTTTTACAGAAAGCTTTCGGACCTTCTCCGAAAAGCTAAGCGCTCGGATGTAGTAATAGTGGCCGGTGACTTTAATGCTCAAGTAGGTAAACTAAGCGATAAGGAAAGACACCTAGGTGGATCCTATGGTGTCGTGGCTCAAAGGACAGATAATGGCGACCGTCTGTTGCAGCTATGCTCAGATAACCGCCTGTTCCTTGCAAATACTAACTTTAAGCATAAGGAAAAACATCTTTTAACATGGCGACCCCCTAATTCGTCCCAACTTTGGACCCAAATAGATCACATCGCTATCAGCCACCGATGGAGGGGCTCGATAGAAGACTGTCGCTCATTCTGGAGCACATGCTTAGATTCAGATCATGCTCTAGTGCGAGCGCGTATTTGCTTGCGTCTTACTGGACGTAGGAAAGATCCTGCAAGGAAACCTCTTAGGGCCCTACTTAATGATAGTCAAGCTAAGAGTATATTTCAGGAACAACTAGGAAAACAGTTAGGCAGCCATGTATGTGATGCCGACCCCGAGGCAGCATGGAATGATATCCGAAAAGCTGTGGAAACAGCAGTGATATCTGCTAGTAAGGTAAACCTGAAGGTTAGGGAGCAACACTGGATCTCAGCAGCACCCACCTCACTGATAAATGCTCGGAAACACATTCCACCTGGCTCTGAACATAATGAAGAGCGGAGTCAGCTTAAGCGCAAGCTGACAAGAAGTCTACGCAATGATCGTGAACAGTGGTGGGTAGCGAAAGCAAGAGAGATGGAAAAGGCAGCGGCAATAGGTAATAGCAGACAATTGTTTAGACTCGTTAAGGAAACCGGAATTAGGAACCCGACCGTTAGCGAAACAATCTCAGAGAAAGACGGACATATTATTCATTCTCAATCCAGGAGATTGGATCGATAGGCAGAACACTTAAGGGATCAGTTCAACTGGCCTTCAGCCACACTTCGGTTTCCCACGATCTCCAGTCAACCTGAATGGCAAGTTAATGTAAGTCCTCCGTCCCTTTACGAAGTTGAAAAAGCCATAGGAAATCTGAAACGAGGGAGAGCAGCAGGCCCTGACAGGTTTACTCCTGAGATTTTTAAGGATGGTGGTCCAGTATTAGCAATGAGATTAACCGAGGTCTTAGGTAGAATTTGGGAACTGGACGTAATCCCATCTGACTGGTCTCAATCACTGATTGTGCCAGTTTTTAAGAAAGGACAAAAGTCCTCTTGTGACAATCACAGAGGAATCAGTTTGACTAATATAGTGTCTAAAATATTAGCCTCAATAATACTTCGACGCCTAACTAAAGCTCGTGAAGAGCAGACTAGAGAAAACCAGGCTGGTTTTCGACCTGGACGTGGTTGTATAGATCAGATATTCACACTACGTCAGGTTCTAGAACACAGACACACATTCAGATGCCCCACAATGGTAGTATTTCTCGACCTTAAAGCGGCATTCGACTCTATTGATCGTGAGGTTCTATGGCAGTGTTTGTCACTGAAAGGAGTACCAAAGAAGTACATTAACCTTATAAAGGCTCTCTACTCGAACACAACTGGTAGAGTGAGAGCTTATGGCGAACTGTCATCAGAATTGATCACCTCAAGTGGTGTTCGTCAGGGCTGTCCACTCTCCCCATTCTTGTTCAACTTTGTCATTGACGTACTTTTAGAGATAACACTCTCCTCATCTAAATATACAGGGGTTGAACTCCTACCAGGAGGTTCACTTGTTGACTTAGAATATGCAGATGACATAGTTTTATTTGGTGAAGACGCTGACAAAATGCAGTCTTCTGACCACTCTAAGCAACAATGCAAGCATGTTCGGGATGCGATTCTCCCCCTCGAAATGCAAAATGTTGCTTCAGGATTGGGTTACATCGACACCCGAACTAGTGATAGGGAGTGAAGTAGTTGAGTGTGTCGACCGCTTCACTTATCTTGGAAGTCTCATCAACCCTTGTGGTTTAGTGTGTGACGAAATCTCAGCACGGATACAGAAGGCTCGACTAGCTTTTGCCAACTTGCGTCATTTATGGCGTAGGCGAGATATCCGTCTATCAACCAAAGGACGTGTTTACTGCGCAGCAGTTCGTTCCGTCCTACTTTATGGCAGTGAAACATGGCCGATAAGAGTAGAGGATATCCGTAGGTTACTAGTATTTGATCATAGGTGTCTTCGAAACATTGCTCATATATCATGGGACCATCGAGTAAGTAACACAGTTGTTAGGAAACGGGTACTAGGTAAGGATGGCAAATCAATTGATGAAGTAGTGAAACTTCATCAGTTGAGATGGCTGGGACACGTGTTACGTATGCCCAACGACCGACTGCCTCGACGTGCTATGCTCAGTGGTATAGGAGTAGGTTGGAAGAAAGCTAGAGGCGGCCAAACCAAAACATGGCACAAGTTCATGAAGTCACTGACAAGTGGACTGAGCCATGTTGGTAGGTGTAGACTACCTGGTTGGGGACCACGAGATGATAGCAACCGATGGTTAGAGACCCTGAATGACATGGCTCAAAATCGTTTGCGATGGCGCAGGTGCATCCACTCTTTGTGTTCTCCCAAATTCTAATCTTCTGAATTCTTCATGTCCCTTTCTTTTTTCTCTTTCCGAATTTATTTCACTGTAAACCCTAATTTTCCCGATTACTGCTTATACTCTTGTTACCTCTACCACTACGGGATTTGAATCGACAACTGCATCTCTGTGCTAATGTGGTGTGGCAACTCGAACTGATGTACGTACGTACGAAGTTCTACGTTGTTACTGACTGACTGACTGACTTATTATGCGGTTATTAATAAACAGTATACTTAACACTATTCATACTACGTGGCACTACTTATATCTTGCATTCCTCTATAATTCATCTTTGCTGGTTTAATCGGTTCGTCTTGGGATAAAAGGGAACTGAGGATACAATATTTTAAAAATAAGGTCAGCACTTCACCATCACATTCCTACCCAAGGACGAAAATGACCCAAAATTTCATCAAGTAGTGTACCTACAAAAGCATGACTCGACCAGGCTGTATTCTGAGTTTTTTCTGTGATGCCACACACTTCTTACCATTTTATACCATTCTATCAATAATCACTTAGTTCATATAGGATCCGTTGTTGACGCTACCGATCAAGACATTTGAAACTCATAATAACTTCGTTCTTGATAAGTCTTCATCAAATTCATGAAGTTTTACGGGTCAAAATAGCAAGTTATCTTCTGCTCCTGTCCTAAAGATGGACTTATTTCATCTCCAGTTCATTTGTTGTGTTCTAAGATTAATAGATAATTATCATCAACTCTGGTTTAGATTTAAGGTTATCCACTTGTGAGATTATAAAAGTTACATATTTGAAGAAATATTTTGCCACTTCCAACTAGTAAGGGTTTATCGATCCATATTCTTTCAGACATTAGTTTTTGCCCAACGACATTTATCTTAATCTTCAAACCCTTAAACTGATGTTGATGTTTCATAATTGTCTTTATTTTAATTCAGTGATGTCATTCTGTATTATGATATGTATGCTCTTGTGACTAAAGCCTTTTTAAACAGATATGAAATCTTAAAGAAATTACGTTTAAAAGGAAAAAAAGACAACTTCTGAAGCATGTGGATTAGACGCAATATACACATTCTTGTGTAGTTGTACGCAACTATTTTCAGTAGTAATTAGTTTCCACATTCCGTAAATTTCACTATATCCTTCACAGTATGACTGTTGATTGAATGTTATTGAAGTGAATTATTTATCTCTGTAAATGTCCGTTTATTTTACGAACTTATTATGTTCCATGTAATTAAGGCTGCGAACTAGTTGACAATATATTAACTTTAAATGACTTAGCTGAAATCAGTCAGTAATCCAGATGCAGTCATTATTTTCTTTTTCCTTTATGTCTAATATTTTGTTATATTTTTCCACTTTGCTTATAACCAACTGATTTACAGCACTTATTCTATAGTCATCTGTTTGATTCACAATGTTTCTACCATTGTTATTCCTCATGATGATTAAATGTGACTTTGTAATAAATATAAACCCACTCAAACAGATCTCATATAAGATATTAATTAAGTCTCAGTAGTAATTTGACTCTCTATTTAACTATAAAACAACTTTAAGTAATATAATCTAAAATGAATATTTACTGAAGATTGTCAGCTTTTTATGTCATAAGATACTATGTAATTTTTACTTCCATGAATAACTAATAATTTCCACTAATTTTACTAAATCAACTGAGCCGTCACTGCCATGTCTTCCACTCTGACATGGTCTTCAGGTCTGCCTATTGTGATGACAACCAGGTTATATTGGCAGGAGCGTTTGTCCTCCCAAACCCTACTACCCCAAACAATTTGGTTAGAGAGCAGTAAGACTAAAAGCTGTAACTCGGTATTCGAAGGTGAAATCGTACTGCTAACTGCACAGGAGTGTAACGGCAGTAGGATGTTTCTTTCAGATAGCCAACATTCACAGTAATGCTGCATTTTCAGAACGTATGGAAGGGATTAGTAATAGTCGGCTCTAAGAATGCCACATGTCACTGTACCCCATGGATTCGCATCGCTGTTGGAATGATCTTAAAAGTACGGAGCTAACAAATCAAGAAATTCCCACGCAAAGGCCATTTGTGATCGACCTCAAGGAGTTGTCTCTTGAGTTCTGTGGTCGCGGCCCCAGTTTGTCAAGACCACTATTAATCCTCCAAATGCCTTGGTACGGCCGAGGGTGGTGAGAGTTAGATCTCCCTCTCGAAATGCTCTCACATGACCACGTGCATACAACCACTGCCAGGCAAGTCCTACTCACTGCCTTCTCGCGGCGGGGGTATTGTCTACGAAATTGAGAGGACGAAAAGCGAATATCCGGCGCCTTAAACCAGTTGGTGGATACGGAGGCTTCACCCAGGGGAGTTGGAAAACCCTGATTCCAAACCAATGGTGCACATGGGCTCCAAGATCCTGAGGAAACATATGGCGTGTGAAGATATCGTTGGTGACCGGCTACCATGGGACTGCATCTCCTAAAGTTGCTCCGCCACATTATGGGTTAGACCTTCAGGTCAAAGGCTCGAGGTGTGGCTCCCTGAGAAAACCACGTGCTTCGGTTTGGGCACCCGGGGCAGTATCCAAGCCCTCACACAAATCGAGTGATTTATGTGGCGCATATCTGTTTGGTGCCTGTGTGTACCAATGTTTATGTGTTCAAATAAATAAATAAATATCTCTGAAGAAGAAATGTCGAATTATGCCCATATATCGTAAGTTCTACATTGTGTATGACCAACTGAACTGACCCGTCTTAATTGTTTGTACCGAACTATGCGAAAATTTTGGTAGATTAGACATTGTTTTACATTATTAATCAAGGTTTAATATTAGATTGATAAATTATAATTCGTTATACCTTGAAAACGAATCATATATTTGCCATACTTGAACATCTTGGATAAGTGGACTGTATGTTTTGTGACTATTGACTCATGATTGATATGTCAATAATAATACATCAGACATGATTCTTGTCGTATATCACAATTTTAGTCGGGATTAGTAGAGTTACTTTCCAATACCAACTGAGATTAGTGATCGAGATTATTATTACTATTATTATTATCATTATTATTATTGTCACTACTTGTAAATATGTCAAAACATTCAGATGTGTAACTACTTTGTTCACAAAAGATATCTCGTTGTCTACATTATTACCATTATATTTTTCACTCCAATCAGGTTACAGATAAATTTCGTGGACTGTTAAATCCATTTACATTGGGTTGTTTGTTAAACTGGCGGAGGTTTTGTTGTGAACCTCAATTTCCTCGGTAAGTATAATTAAGTATTTAAATCCTCCTATCAATAAATGAACAAAATACAATCGATTGATCACCGAGTAGTGATCAGTATTATGTTTGACTTATCCTTTTAGTGATGACCGAAAGTCAGTTGAAGCCTGAATAGCCCAGTTGTAACATATCAAACTGTTGAGCCTGATGCATTAGGGCCGATTCCACTAAAAAGTACCAGTTCTCTTAAGGGCTACAGGTACATTTTGCTATCGAGTGCTGAATTGTACAAAACGTAGGTCCAATATTTCCTATCGACTACCTCCAATACCTAACACCTGAAGTAAAATATTTATCAAAAAATGTTTTATACGTTTATAATTTCATGGTATCACAAATAATTACAGATAGCTTTTATTAATTGCTTTTCGCTCTAACTGTTTTAATAGAAATCTTTTCTATTAAGATTACGAACAAGCCCACGTTAGACAAACACCGAAAACCAGAAAGCACTATCCAACTGTTTTACCCTTGTATGGGACTTCATAGTGGCTTCTCTATCCGAACTAGGTAGAGGCTGTGGATTTTCACTCTTTTTAGTGGCTAGAATGATATACGTATACTCAACTACCCCCTACCTTGATGCGCAATGCTGAATAGATTCTGGAGCGGGTTGGAAAAAGGCTAGATACAATCAAATCAAGATTTGACACTATTTCATGAAGACATTGGTCTAAACTGTGTGGGGACATTCAGACTACGGGATCTTAAGCCCCTGTGTAATGATAGTCAATGTGTGAAGAACTTGAATGATATGGCTTAAAATCATTTTCAGTAACACGGATACACTCATTCTTTATCTTTCCCCAAATATTGAATCTCAAGATTATTCCATGCTTTTCCTTGTATTGTGTTTTTTTCTAGTCATATTCTCAATGTTTAGTTTTTCCTACTATTATTAATGATGTTATTAATCCAACCCTTTCGTTGTACATCTTGTTGATATCCACCCACTGTTAATATAGTGTTGCAGCTTGAGCCGATAAAAATTCACACCATGTTTCACATCAACACAAGGCCCACAAATTATATATATAATCTTTCCGATCCAGACCAGGATATATAGTCTGAGAACTTGAGTATCTGGATAATCGATTTTCTTCAAATACCAAGCCTCGTTCAAAATACCTCACCTACTGTTTTACCTTGAAATGGCATATGAGTAAACACATAAACTCTCTCAACCTGTAATTGACTACCCCGAAGAGCTTTTATGTCTAGTTCATGCTCAAAATCATGATCCAGTAGTTTAAGGTTTCTCTGTTAAATCCACTTGTGTGAGAGGTTACATTGCATTGCATGTAAGGTTAATAAGTTAGAAACACTTTTAAGGGAAACATATTGTACATAAATGTAATTTGATTTACGTGTTAGTTTGCATTTTAACCTAATAACATTTCCTGCTTTTTTCTCATTTTTCTTATAACATTACATGTCAACAGTCGTTATTTGGAAGTAGTCCCAACCAAATCCCGTCGTATTAAATATTTTAAATTGAGAAAAAGTAGATTTAGCAAATTCAATCATTTCATGATTAGTAGCGGTGGCGCTGAACCCGGGTGTACTGATGATGCCGTTATCAATACATACACAGAATCAAATCATAAACTACTCATGGATCATATACATAGTACAACTACCAGTGATAATATTAATCATAATTATAGTACTGAGAAAGACACTATGCTTGACAATACTGATACTAAAATGCCTAATATCAACAGTAATACATTCTATGACAAAAAATCACTTGGTGGTGGGAAATATTTATACACTTTAAAAGTTCCACAAAACCATTCACATCATCATCCACGTCAACAATTAACTAACCAAAATCAGGGTAGTACTCGATCAACAAATCAGTTGATACCACGTGGACCATTAGTTTGTGATAATGAAGAACCATTATCTTCGATTATTAATAATTTAACATCAAATCGTAATAATGTAATGACAACAGCGATAACAACAGCAACAACACTGACTGGAAACCATAAATTGGAAGGTAATAATGATACTTGCTCAATTAATGAACAAAATCTACCATGTACTAACGCTAGGGTATGTTAAAGTGAATTTCTTTTTGTTTGTTTGCTCGTTTTTTTTACAAGAAATTTTTTATTGTCAAATATGAGTATGTTATATTTTTTTACCGGTTTAGAACCTTAAAAGTATTCACGAGTTAGACATATATATATATATATATATATATATATATATATATATATATATATATAGGTTCTCAATCTGTAACGAAATAACTATTTATTGTCCCTGATTTTTGAATTATTCTATTCGGTAACATTCAAACATTCATCAAATAAATCGTGTAAAATAGTTCCTGTCCAGTTGTGTTAATGAGGTATGGCAACTTGGACCGATGCATATATGTGCCTGGTCCTACGTTGTAGCTGACTGACTGACTCCTGTCCAGTTTATTTTATATTATTCCCAGTAAATAATTGAATAATGCTAATTAATATTTTTGTTGAATAACACGTACGTCATTCATAAAAAGTAATTTAAAGATAATCTTAACAACTAGGAGAATGTTTTAGTATATTTAACATTTATTTAGCTAGTAGTGGAATCTAAGATTTGCACTTCATCTTATTTGGAACTCATCTGTTACATATGTATCTCCATCCTAGTTTTAATTTTTATATTGAAACATGAATCTAGTGATTTTCACTTCAAATACCAACATTTTATCGACTGAGCTACTGAGTTCAAATAGTCATTAAATTGTTCAACAGGTCAGAAAATATTAGTAAAGATTTATAATTTACTACTGTTGATGTTCAAGACTATAAGTGGACTAGTCTCTGTAGCTCAATGGATAATGTATTGATGTTTGATGCAAAAATCACTAGATTCACGTTTCAATGTGGGCATTAATACTGAGATGCAGGTACATCCAGCTGACAAAGTCCAAAATAGATCGAAAGGCGCCTTGTGGATTCTAGCACTAAAACTTTTAACCGAAAGCGGGTATACGAGAGTTATCTGCTTGTGATTAAAATATGACAACGGAGACTGACCAATTTCACTACTGAATATCAGCAGCGGTGAATTACAAACCCTTATAAATAATACTAGGGACAATTGTTTGCATGAGGTAGTAGCTTAATGATTAAGTCACCCATTTTTTTAACCATTGGGCCCTAGGTTCCGAGCCCAATTTTATTTACTTCAGTTTGGGGGCGGTGGTAGTATCACTAGCTTTCACACAAAAATTTGTTTGTCAAAGACAAGTAAAAATAAAAACTGTTCATTACCTCACTTAGTTTACCAGTTCTAACTCCATTCATTTAATAGCGATCACCTGTTAAATAAAAACTTTATTTAAAGTTATCACCTCATCATACTATGTTGTATAATTTCTTTAGTTTGAATTCATTAGAACTAGTACGGTCAAATAGATATTACCAACACAAGAGGGAATCTAGCACAGTAAATAAATAGGTTGGATGTCAGTCCCGGAAGTCATTGAGTTTGTAGGGAAATCCAAACTACTTAGTTTAACTCCGTGAGATAATTAGAGTCAATACTTGGGAGATTTTAAATGACGTGATTTAATATCAGTCTCACTAGCAAAGATACACTCATTCATTATCTTACCTTAAATCTTAATTCCCAATATTATTTCGTCACTTCTTATTCCTATATTTCATTAAAAGTGCGGTTGCTCAGTGGCTAGCATATTCAGTTCGAGATTCAACCTTTGCTCCCACTTACTCCTGTTTTGGGCAACTGGATAATATCATAAGCCCTCATACGTAGAATATGACTCATACCCTCGAGTACTCGGTGAATGAATTGAGTAAAAGATTTCATCCCTTCCTATGGAATCGTACTCTCTATGTTCTATTTTTCTTACCACCACTGATACTATTTATTATTTCAACTTCTTTGCTATGCATCTTGTTGATTTCAACTCGCTTTAATGATTTACTATGTCAACTTTAACTAAAGTAATTACGATTGACTAACTGATATGAACGAATATTTATGTCTTGGGTTTATTGAGTTTTAGTTGTAACTGTTTATTTTAACCTTCATACTTTCAATCAATAAGTTATGACTTCAAACTTGGTAATCCCTGTGAGTGCTTACATAACTAAAGTAGACTATCCTTAGCTGTCACATCATAAGTATTACTCATAGATTGATGAATATACTTTGGTTTTAAGTATTAATTCTATTCTGTGGAGTTAAACTAGTATAATTTCTTAGAATTATTCAATTTATACGACGTTCCTCGTTTAATATTTCTAATTCTATGTTTTATAATGCTGCACAGTTAAAAGCGATTAACTGGACTTTGAAAACTCAGATTTTGACTTGATAAAGTGCTCATTAATATAAATGATATTTCAAGCTGTAAATGAATTTATTTCCTGTAAGAAGTTAACTTTGTAATCTGCGCTCTTCAAATAATCCAACCACATTCGATCTCATAAAGTTCAAATTAACATTATCCATTCTATTTTCAAATCATATCTATGTCTACATTTTTTTTCACTAACATAGACGACAATACCGTTACTTCAGAGGTTTCTTGCTATCCATCCTGTACTGATTTGTTATGGGGCAACTTAAGCTTATACAGATCTGTTATACTCGAAAATTAATTAAATTGTTCAGACTACTAGTACCAGGTACTTGATCATTTGATACACTTGACGCAATTATTCGATCTTTCCTTGATCGAGAACTAAATATGGAAGAAAATATTAGTTTATCGATACAAGTACACAGCAATCAGCGAGTGGAACCAAAAATGAGTTGAATTCTACATTATGAAATAGTCCCTTATATTTAGTTTGACTAAACATGTCTGTCTCTAGTCATCATAGGCCGATTCGATTCGATAATATCTAGATTTTCGCCTACTATAATTTATGGTCGTATCATTTAGATTTAGGACTGCAAATCTTGAATTTCGGTTCTAAGTTTATTCCTCCGTATGGCTAAATAGTAGTTTGGCACTACATCTGATAACAGCTCGGTATGAAAAACCTAGCTATAATTCGTAACCTTAGGTTCTAACTCTAAATTCTAATCCTAATTCCTCACACCAATTTCCAACCCTATTTCGATCCTAGTAAGTAGTTTAGGTAACTCTTGAAAGCCTTCCATAAATTATGGTCTCACCTAGTATTTCACTTGTTTATAAAATACCAATCTGGAATTAAGCCTGCAGTTAATCATACAAGCTTATACCATACAAAAATACATATCAAAAGGGTGAGAAATTATCTCTATCACCATTAATCTTTTTCTTGATTTTAGCCATCCGCTGATTCACTCGGTACTTTAGACAGTGCATATCAACCACATCATCAAAATTCATGTAATAACGGCGGCAAAGTATTGGTAGACACTGCCAGTATTAGTCTTTCAGGTTGGAGTGAAGATGCAGTTTCGCTGAAAACATTAGATCGTCTTATCGGTATTACACGTCATCATCATCCAACGATTGGAGGAAATGACAGTGCAATTGCCACAAGTATTGGTGGGGGTGGGGGTGGTGGAGGTAGTAGTGGTCCAACTTATTTAACTGTTGAACGTATTCAAGAAAATGGGGAATCACTGATAGATTCTTCAACTTCCGTTCTAGATCGAAATATTTCAACTGATCAAGATTCAACACACTTCTTTAATTTTAACGGTTCACATATAAATGGTTATACGGGTATATTACCTACTTCTACAGCTGATTCAATCAGTCAACATTTTACACATACACTACCTCTTTATCAACAAAATATTGTACGTTCACTTGGTGAGGTAAGTTAACAAAGATGTTAATTGTTTTACATTACTCTAAAAGGTTTGTGTAGACTGTCAAATTCCTTAGTTTACATCATAGGCTGATCTTAGTGAGACAGTCATTAAAACCAGAAAGCACTACATAGTTGTTTTGTATTAATCATAAATTCACACTGCTAAGGAGTCTTATACTGGGAAAAAACAGCTGTCTAATACCTTCTGGTCTTCAATAGTTAGTTGTCTAACTAAGATCAGTTCATTAATTTGTTTTATAGCATGGGAAGTTTAATATCAAATGTCACGGCGACCGAAAACTTCATAGGTTATTGGGCCCATCTAACATTTTCTCTTCTAAATGACTATATTGACGTTCTTTAAAAAAAAGTCAATTGAAGCATAAGTGATTAGACGACACTGATTTTGTAGACCATTCGAATACCAATAAATTGAAGACTTGATTCTCAGGTTTAATTTTTGCCTCTATATATCAGAGTTACATTTTGGATTAATGTAATACAACTAAACTGTTCACTATCGAAGTAGATAAAACGGAGTTCAAGTTCTCAATCGAATGTGTTGATTTTTTTAAGCTAATCACATGATCATTTATCGTGATCCGATGTCAAATGCCAGAATCATCAACAAATCAATGTGTTTTTTGTCATAATAAATTTAGCGACGAGGATGAGTATTTTAATTGTAGAACCACTACTTCATAAATCTGTCTGACAATATACTGCCATTTATAAATCAACCACAGTTCTCAGTATGAAATCCCTATTGCATTTTGTATGCTTATATTAGCATCTATAACTGTGATATGAATGCAATAGTTTATCAACTCTTTTCAAGATTGCAAATATACCTTTATAATAATACCATGAAACCTAATTCATCAAACATAGCTTCCTACCAGTTGCCTATTGAACCACTTAACACATGTGTACATCTCATTACACAAACCATTGCTATGTTCACTGATTCCTGTCTTTTCATTACATCTAGTTTTCACATCCATCATCTTATCATTGAATATCATACTGATTCACTAATTTTTCCCCTGTTTTATTTTTTAATTATTATTATTAATCCTGTGGTCGTTTAGAATGACTCCTACTGTAATTTCTATGATGGAAGTGTGACAGGTGTTATTGGGAATGAAACCAGTGGAACTGTTGGAGTCAATGTTATACCACCATCTATTAACTCTTTATCGAATACGTTCAATCATGTAGATAATTCTTTATCAGTTAATGATAATTATCATGTTAATTACTCAAACACGAACGATAATAATTCTTTATTCAATTCTAATCCATTATCGATTAATAGTAGTACTAATCATCCAATCACCAGTAGAAATCGAACACAATATTCTACCACTACTACTACTACTACTAATAATGCTGGATCTATGTTTATGGTAAATGAACCACATATTTCCGCTTCTAATAATTTAGAATTATTGAATCCTTCACGTTCAACAATTAATGCTACTACTACTACTACTAATAATAATACTCAACATGGTTCCATTGAATTACCTTACATTCCGTCACTATATCATACAAGAGATAATAGGAATATCAGTAATAATAACAATAATGATAATAATAATAATAATAATAATAATAATAATAATAATAATAATAATAGCACACATCCACCGGGAAATTATGCACAAGCAACATTTGTTAATCAAGGTATGTTGAAGTTATTATATTTGGTTTTTTTTAAATATTGTTCATACTTATTCATTCCAAAGTATGGATTCAGCCATTTTTAATGGTGATAAACTGGTAGGTTAGATATCTTCTTTAGAAAAAATTAATACTAACGTTATGAGAAGAGGAGAGTAGTATGTAGTTGTGATAGTGTGTGAAGAAAAGTCAATTTTATCGCCGCCCCTGCATAACAGGAGGTCAGTAATATATGCATCTTTTCCTAGACTTGATTTCTTTTTTGTTTCAAAGTATTTGTTTTTCATTGTTCCCTAATTCATAATACTAGGTTTCTTACATTTTTTGCATACAAAGTGGAAAAGAGAAGATATATTTTACAAAATTACACTTAAATAATCATTGTGTACTAGACATTTGGCATTAACATTGTCATTAGATTAATTAATATGTTTAGAATTTCAGTTAAAGTATACTTTACTGACAACCTTTTAGCGACCCTGAAAAAGTAAGACGATATTTTAGCTATTCAAAAGTCAAGTGATGGAAATGTATTAGGAATAAAATGAGACACTGTTTTGTAGCCATCAATTTATATATACATGAATACTTGTGGTATTAGTTATTTCTTTAATTTAAAACACGAAGAACGCATGAGTTACCCTTAAAAATTCAAAAATCTTGATTCTTACTTCTTATTTTTTTCATATTTTTAATTAATTAATTAATTTGAACACATACATATTGGTACAAGAGTGCGCTACACAAAATAATGAGAATTTAAAGAGAAGGAAAAAAAAGGTAAGGAGGGTAAAAAAAGAACAATAAGGAAGAGATTGGTGTAAGGTAGTGTAGTAATAATAATAGTAATAATGAGGGAACGGAAAGGTGCAATCAGAAGAAATCTTTCAGTTAAGGGAGACACAACCACTTTTTATGAAGAAAGTAAAAGAAGGTTACAGCAGGATCGCCACTGGCTCCTATTCTGAGCCATATCTGATAACGTCTCTAGCCACTGTGTAGCACCATCTCTCGGACCCCAACCAGGGAGTCGTGAAGGACCGACAGAAGCCAGTCCTTTGCAGCTTTCTTTCATACCACGACACCATGTCATGCACTGACCACCTCTCCGCTTCTTCCAACCAGTCCCAGAGTCGGCAAATAATGAACGGTGTGGAATTCTCTGGGACGGCATTCGTAGAACATGTCCAAGCCATCGAAGTCGGTGTTTCAAGATGGTGACATCGATTGCATTATCATCTCTGTGCCCGAACACACGATGCCAAACCTCTGCATTACTGACATGGTGTCGCCACTGGATGTCAACAATCCTTCGGAAACAGCGATGATCGAACACAGAGAGTCTTCTAACGTCCTCAACTCGGAGAGGCCAGGTTTCACAAGCATAAATCAAAACTGCTCTCACCGATGCGTTGTAGATCCGACCCTTTACAGCCAGACTAACATCACGAAGGCGCCAATGGTGGCCCAGATTGGCATAAGCCGCTCTGGCTTTCACTATACGTGCATTAATCTCATCAATCACACCCCCACCAGCAATTATGCAGCTACCCAGATACACGAACTTCTCGACTACTTCTATCTGCTCACCATCCAGGGTGAGCAGATTTATTTAAACATCTTAAGTACTAAATATTACTACGGTTTGACTTATCTTTCAACAAGATGCAAACCATCCATCATCACGTTTGGAATTTCGTTAAAAAATCTAATAGCTGTAGTCTTAAATCCGCTTGGTTCATTAATGGAGCATACTTTTATCTGCATTACTATTAAGAAAATAAACTTACAAAATTTTAGCTAATAGGTAATAATCTTTATTTCTATTAACATATCAATCATTTTCAAACAACCACTCGGTTTTTCAATTTTAGGTTCCAAACTACTTTCCGTAGCTTTGGTTTTTATCAATAGGGTAGTATTACTAGTAGTCCTCATACTAATTCTATGTTTTGAAACTGAGTGTATAAATATGTACTTTATAAATCTGTTACGTTAAATTTCAACCATATCACTTAATTTTGTCAAAACTTTCATTCATTTTCAATCATACATATCATACAATATTTCATGTGTAAAGGCTTATCTTTGAACATTACTAGTTGTTTACACGAATGTTTCCATATAAAATGCAATCCAGTTAACATGTTTCAGTGACTTGGAAGTTACTACTAAGCATTCACTTTTCAACCATTGGATCCCAGTTTCAACTCCCCCTCTACATATTTCAATTTGTATAGCCAAATAATATTGCTAATCCTCAGTGGAAGACATGTGTGGGGTTCCGGCTTTTGATCATAAATGTATTTTAAGCACTACTTGCTTATAGTGGACCGAATGAGTGAAGTTAGGCATAAGGTACTAAGGAAAGATGAGAATCCGGTTGATAAGCTTATGAGTCGTCATCAACTGAGTTGTCTGTAATGTGTTACATATGTCCAGATATACCTCCTACCCCAACATCCAGTGAAGACTGAAGTAGTATTATGTTGAAAGAAAGCTAAAGGTAGACAAACCAATACATAACGCCGGTTCATGAAGCCACTGACTGTTCATTTTAGTCATATTTGTAGGTGCAGACTGCCTGGTTAGGTTCCACAGGATAAATGCTACCAGTAGTTGGAGACTTTAGATAGTAGGTCCAATCACAATGGCATAGAGCTATGCATCCTTTGTCTTCCTCGAGATGTTATGTTCCATCATTCCTTCATACATATATTTTCATTATGCCTCTTAGAAATATACTATGAATGTTTAGTCATTTTGATTATCGTTTTTACTATGTTATTTCCATCGTTTTACTATTCATCTTGTTGACTTCATCTTATCATGCTCATGTGATACGGCAGCTTGGACTTATGTATAATTTAACTTAGCTGTATGTTGATTATGACTGATTAACCCTCTCTCTCACACATATATATAAACATTGATTCTTTAAGCCGAGTAATAATAATAAAGATTAGTAGTAGCTGGATGAACAGTTCTCTTTATTTAACAATCAGATTGTGTCACTTTGTGTGATGCAAACAAGAACATATTTTTGTGAAGAATAGAATAAAAATAGACCATAGACTAACTTTCAGCTTATAATTCAAAGTAAGGGGTTTGTGAAGGTTGGTTAGAATTTTTTAGAAGTGCAAACCACTGAATGCTGACTCCGTGATCTAAATATCAAGAGCTCGATACGCACAAGACCTCAAGGTCCCGGGTTCGACCACCAGTTAGGTCATGATAAATGTCCACTGCCAAAAAGTCGTGTACTCGGACGAAACAGAGCTCTCCAGTGCTTCCTAGTTTCATAACTGACGTCAACTTCCGGCGTAAACTATGAAATTTCAGTTCATGGTCTGATTTAAAAATTATTCTGTGATGTTTACTTTTTACTATGAGTCAAAACACTAAATGTCACAACAGCAACAAATTAAACTTTTTTCAATGTTCTATGCCAGTAAAATTTGAAAATCTTATTGACAAATTATTAATAGTTAAAGAAACTGATCGATTCAATCCTAAATATTAACTGTTCTAAAAACACACCATCTCAGCGTACAAAAGCGTTCTAGAGGATTTTCTAACGTTCTTCTAATACTTACTTACGCCTGTTACTCCTCGTGAAGGAGCATAGGCCGCTCACCAGCATTCTCCATCCAACCCTGTTCTGGGCAATCCCTCTCAGCTCTTTCCAGTTGTTATTCATCCTTTTCATATCTGATTCTATTTCCCGACGTAATGTGTTCTTTGGCCTTCCTCTTTTCCGCCTCCCTTCAGGATTCCAAGTTAGGGCTTATCTCATGATGCAGTTTGATGATTTGCGTAATGTATGTCCTATCCATTTCCATCGTCTTTTCCTAATTTCCTCTTCAGCTGGAACCTAGTTTGTTCTCTCCCACAGAAGGCTATTGCTGATGGTATCCGGCCAATGGATGTTGACTATCTTGCGTAGACAGCTATTTATAAATACTTGTACTTTCCTGATTGTGATTGTTGTAGTTCTCGAAGTTTCGGCTCCATACAGTAGAACTGTCTTGACGTTCGTATTGAAGATTCTCACTTTGATATTGGTTGAAAGTTGTTTTGAGTTCTATATGTTCTTCAATTGTAGGAATGCGGCTTTTGCTTTGCCAATCCTCGCCTTTACATGTGCATCTGATCCTCCTTGTTCATCGATGATGCTTCCCATGTATGTGAAGGATTCTACATCTTCCAGAGTTTCGCCATCAAGAGTGATTGGATTGCTGTTTTCCGTGTTGTATTTGAGGATCTTGGTTTCCCCCTTGTGCATGTTTAGGCCTACTGATGCAGAGACTGCTGCTACACCGGCTGTCTTTATATGTATTTGTCCATGTGTATGCGATAGGAGGGCTAGGTCATCTGCGAAGTCCAAATCGTCTAACTGGTTCTGAGCTGTCCATTGTATTCCGTGTTTTCCCTCAGATGTCGAGGTCTTCATAATCCAGTCGACCACCAGAAGAAAGAGGAAGGGAGAGAGTAAACAGCCTTGTCTGACTCCGGTCCTTACTTGGAATGCATCTGTCAGCTGTCCTCCATGCACTACTTTGCACTGTAGTCCGTCGTATGAGTTCCGGATAATATTGACAATCTTCTCAGGAACTGCATAGTGTCGAAGAAGTTTCCATAACGTCCTCCTATCTACACTGTCAAATGCCTTTTCATAATCAATGAAGTTGATGTATAATGATGAGTTCCACTCAACTGATTGTTCGACGATGATCCGTAGTGTTGCAATTTGGTCTGTGCACGACCGATCCTTACGGAATCCAGCTTGTTGATCTCGAAGTTGGGCGTCTACTGCATCCTTCATCCGGTTCAGCAACGCTCTGTTGAAGACTTTCCCTGGTATTGACAGTAGTGTTATGCCTCTGTAGTTTTCACATTTGCTCAGATCTCCTTTGTTTGGAATCTTGACGAGGTGTCCTTCTTTCCAGTCCATCGACACTTGTTCCTCCTCCCAAATCTTTTTGAATAGAAGATAAAGCATGCTTGTGGTTGTTTCGATGTCTGATTTCAGTGCTTCAGCTGGTATGTTGTCGGGTCCTGCTGCTTTCCCGTTCTTGATTTGCCTGACGGCCATTCTAATTTCTTCCGTAGTTGGTGGATTGACATCTATAGGAAGATCTATGTGTGCTGCTTCGATGTTCACTGGATTAATTGGAGCCGGCCTATTCAGGAGTTCCTCGAAGTATTCTACCCATCTGTTACGCTGTTGTTGAATTTCGGTGATTGGCTTGCCTTCTTTGTCTTTGACCGGCCTCTCTGGTTTACTGTAATTCCCTGCTAGTTTCTACGTTGTATCGTGAAGTTGTTTCATATTTCCTTCTCTAGCAGCTTGTTCTGCCGTCGTTGCTAGTTCTTCCACGTATTTCTTCTTGTCGGCTCTAATGCTCCTCTTCACTTGTTTGTTTGCTTCTATGTATTCGGCTTGTGCTTGGACTTTCTCTGCTCGTGTTCGGCTGTTGTTTATTGCTGCCTTCTTGTTCTTCCTTTCTTTGATCTTGTCCAGTGTTTCTGTAGAGATCCATTCCTTATGATGATATTTCTTTAGACCGAGAATCTCTTGACACGTTGAAGTTAATGCTTCTTTGATGCTTTTCCAGTTGTCCTCCATAGTAGTTTCTTCTTCGTTCAGTAGATCTCGTAAGGCTTGGAACCTGTTGTTGAGAGTTATCTTGAATTCGTTGAATTTGTTAGTACCTCGAAAGAAAGTTGTATTAAACCTTCGTAGTGCTGTTTGTCCAGTTTTTCTTAAGCTTCAGTTTCAAATTGGTCACAACTAGGTGGTGTGGTGATCTGAAGCTATGTCAGCTCCTCTTCTAATTCTCGCGTCTTCTATTGTCTTTCAAAGTTTTTTATTGATGCAAATATGATCTATCTGGTTCTCTGTGGTGTGGTCCGGTGAGATCCATGTAGCTTTGTGTGGAAATATTGTGCCACCTATGACCAATTTGTTGAATGCACATAGATTTGCAAACCTCTTCCCATTTTCGTTTCTCTCTCCCAAGCCATGTCGTCCCATGGTGTCTTCATATCCGGTATTGTCTATTCCGACATTGGGGTTTAGATCTCTTATCAGAATGGTGAGGTCTTTTGTTGGGCACTTCTCTATGATTGACTGCAGCCTCTTATAGAATTGATCTTTAATGTCGTCATTGCTATCATTGGTGGGTGCATAACATTGGATAATATTCATTGCGATCCCCTCCTTTGTTTTGTGTCATGCATTGATGATTTTGGATCCATGAGATTCTCACCCTACAAGTGCATTTCGTGCTACTTTGAACAGCATTAAAGCAACTCCCTGAGTGTGTGGAGCGTCTTCCTCTCCGTGACCGGAGTATAGTAGCATCTTTCCCGTATTTAGCCTTTGTTGTTCAGCTTGGGTCCAATGGGTTTCGCTGATTCCCAGTACTGCCAAGTTGTATCTCCTTATTTCCGTTGCTATTTGACTTATCTTCCCGGTCTCCCACACTGTCCGGACGTTCCATGTGCCTATAAAAATTGTTGCTCTGGTTGTTAGAAGGGGCGTCGGCCTCGTGGCTTCCGAAGGAACTCGGCTTTCACCATGAGGCGTCATAGTTCTTCTAAATGAAGACCTTCTAACTTTAAGGGTAGAGTTTAAATGGTTTGAATTATTTTTTCTGGTTAGCGTTTTTTTAGCGAGTTAGTTTTCTACGGGATGGGGTCATAACCCCATGCCCAACCCTCCTCCTTTACCCGGGCTTGGGACCGGCAGTAACTCTAGAAGAGCTACAGGCGGAATTCTCCTAATAAGCACTATCTAAATGATCTGCGAAACCTATCACATTCCCTTGAATCTAAGCTGTATGAACCATCGTCATTGTTATGATCTCATACCCACTCTACAGCGGAACTGCAAAACTTACTATCTTGCCAAATATCTTATATCCAGTGACATGTAGTGTCCATTTTCTGATAGACTATCACATAAGTTAGACCTTTAGAAATTTAACATGGCACTGTTGTAGGTATTGAAGTAACTGTCTAATGTTTAAAAATCACGACTTCCAACTTCTAGACGACAGATTCAAATGTTAATTCCGTTTTATCAGTCCAAGTAACCGCAAGTAGTATCATTATTCTTCATATGAAACACGGCTCCTAGCCAAGCATTTGAACCACTTGTATTTAGTAAATTAGTTGATGTAAATATTGATTGAATCCTGAAATGTATATACTTCCATTTAAAGGAAAACGGCTCAGAAGCATTTATAATATGAATCGTTAATTTAGCTGACAACTAGTGTACCATGTTAGTAATCAAGGTTTGTTGAAGATTTGAGCTACTATGCTTTGTATTTGATCACCACTTAGGAATTCATTCATTGGAATAAATTACCCCTATATGATTCATATCCTCTTCACTGAAACGGCTCAACAATTGCATATAATAGATCAGTTGCTTAGTGAGTAAAACTCGATTTTCGAACCTTCCTTCACCTACTTAAATGTGAACAGTCGGATGGTGTCAGTCTCTAAAGCGTGTTTAGAGTGCACAACAGATCTTCGGTTCAGGCAAACAGGTAGTATAAGTAGATCTCACATTTAGAGTTTGGATTATATCCAAGTAGCTAATGAACAAGCTAATTATTTTCTATACGGTTTATATAAAATATACCAGTAATCTACGTTTTCTAATCAATAACCACTATGTAGAGTGAATTTACCTGTCTTGTAGGCGGAACGGTAACTGAGTGTTTAAATCACCTCCAGGTTCGAAATCTACTTTATCGAATTTCCACATAGATTGTATAATTCACTGCTAATTAAGTGAGCCTGTACTCATTCACTTTTAAACAATATGGGTTGTAAATATCTCTTTTTGAGACTACACTAAGTCCCTAACCTTCCTATTATTCTTTACATTTATTCAACTTCATTGTAATTTAACTGATTAGATCTTTCATAATTTTTTTAATATTTTAATTTCATTTAAAAGAAAGAGAGAGATGCATCTACTTTTCTATTAAAAATTCTTTTTCCAATTGTTTTGTCTTTATCTCTATAGTTTTTCATGGACAATCATCTGATCAATCATCGCCTAATACAAGTCGATTCAGTTTTATTTTTTCACCATTAGACGTTAATGCACCTCATGCATCACAAGAGACTCTAAGTACAGCTACATCACAAACATCTATTCTTCTACTTGGTTCACCATCTAGTCCAAGAGGTTTTCCATCATCGTCTCAATCTCACAACAACATGGGTCCGGTAAATGATTCATCAGCACCGATCAATTATGAAACTGATGACTATTGTGTCAGTCGAACTGGTACTATGCTACCATCAAATCGTATGTCAAATTAGAAATAATACATTATAATTTCTATATTGTTGTTTATTTGTTTGTTTGTCTTTAACATAATATTCATCATTCAATACCAATTAGACTACGGCGATAAATACCAACTGCTTCCAATATATTTCCATACATTTATTGTACAACATGATATGTGATATTATTGATATTGACAAGGTTTATTCCAATTCATTGTTTCATTATCTCCAACCTTATTTGTTTTCATAAGTAGCATTTGTTTATCAATCTATCAATTGAAATAAGCAAAACATTTCGACTGTATGTATGTGTGTACGTTTTTACAATTTCTGTTTGTATACAGCTCTTTTCTTTTTCGTTTTTCATATTATTGTATACATTGTAGATAAAGGATAATATTTACATAAACATACACATTCAAGACTAATATTTCACTCACTTGCACCTATCATACCAATTCTTTTTTTTTCTGTTTACTACTCATCATTAACATCCATGTACACTCAATTATTCCTGTCTGAGTTTCAACTGTTTTACGTCTCTCTCTCTCTGTGTGTGTATGTGTTTGTACTCATATACATTCTTTTCCTAAATGTCTAATCTCTGTCTACGGTGAATATATTTCTTTCGTGAATGTAGACTTTTTTTTATCTACCAAATACTTAATCAATTAGTTTTACACTTTATTTTCTCATCGATATCAGTCAATGCTACCGAGTGGTTGTTATTATTACTATTAATAACAGTATTCTCAAGTGTCCATGTTCTCATGTTTACGTCTGTGTATTTGCAAAAATTATAAAATAAGTTAAAAACTATTTTCTTTTAGTTCATTGATTCCAGTTGTAAAAGAAAAGAATCCTAGAATTCAGATGTAAATTTAAATTACATTCTCTCATGTATATGTGTACAACATAAGATATATTTTTATCAAATTTCCATTTGATTGTCTTACAAACATTGTCTACCTTCCTTTTGTGAAGTTAGTTATCTTCAGTGTTCTCTCTACCATTGGTGACACTTTCTGTCTTTGTTTAATTTGTTCCCTCTCTTTTTTCTCCTAATCTTGTTTTTTATTCCTTTCCGTTACTATAGTGACCTTTTTCACCTCAGTTTCAGGTTACAGATGTGTACTAGGAATAAGTGATTGAGTTATTTTCATTCCATCATTCATTTTATGTGAGCATATACCTGATATATATATGTATACGTGTGTGTATCAGTTTGTGTTTCCATGTGTTGCGTATGCGGACCTCAGTGTTTTTGCAAATGTTCTACTGTTTTGTATGATGAAAACGTGTTATGCAACATTTGACTAATATTTACATATATGTATCTATTTGTAATGTCTTCATTTTGCTTACTACTTATTTAGTTAGTTGCTTAAAAATTTCTAGCGAAATAGTCTTCCTGTTTACTGTCCTCATTTTCAGTTTCCAGATTACTTGTTTAAATCTGCTATCACCTATCTGATGCCCAACTGAGTATATTACAATTAAAGGAGAGAAATTTTGTCATATGAAAAGTTGAGTAATGTCAATATTATGCAATAACTGTTTGCTGTTATATGTTGCAATATCGTTGTTCCTCCTTTCTAAATAGTGCAAAACTTGTAAAATTCTGTGATTTAAAAAGGGTTTTAATATGTACATTCTGTTGTTCCGATGAGTTGAGTAGTATCTATCTGAACTAAGCAGATAACGCGTTGGGTGTTTGGAGCGAAAGTTATTTGATTCAAGTCCCAATGTAAACATCAACACAACACCCAGTTGGCGAATACCAAATGAAACAAAATGTACATACTGGATCCTACTGCTAGCCATTACCCAACGTTACTTAAAATCTTATGATGTCATGACAATATCGAGGTGATTTTCTCGGGATAAAAATTTCAAAAGAGACCGATCAATTACAGTCTTTAACAACAGGATAATTCAGACCCTTACAAGTGAAAATGTTCTCGATTGTTTTCAAATTTCGGAGTACATATATCCTGTCCATACACTCGCTTTTAAAACCTCATATTCCATGGGAGAGCTCTAGTAATAATAGCCAACTGTTTAAACTGAAATGCATGGAACAGGTTTCAAATGCAAAACCCAAAAGTTGGATACTTTACTCACTACACCTCACTTACTACTCTGCTTACACTTCAGTCTATATAACCAAGTGATACATGGTGTATATACAGTCCAATCCACAAATGTGTATTAACGTTTTGTAAACGGAATTTCAGTCATTACTGTGATTACTTAAAATAAAGTTCTAACTTTAATTAGAATTCTAGTTGCAAAATTATCTACAAATACTAAACTGTAACGTAGTTTCCAGCTACTGATTAATAAGAAAAACTCAGTGTGACAAGTAAATTGTTGGTCAGAAGTGATAACCCAATTTAACCTAACATTTAAAGCCTCAGGTAACTCAAAGTTGATGTTTATTACTTGCTCCAGACAAGATAACTTGACGTGTTTTCCTACGTACTCAACAGAAAGTCTAAATAGTATAAAAAAATAGACTCTAGTAGATTAATCTATTTGTACATTGTATTCGTCGTGGATTACCATTAGTTGGAGCACAATTAAAAATCAGAAAGCACTGAACGATCGTTTCTTTAGTTGTTGTCCGTACCAAGGGTCGAACACGTGATCTGGTCTTTTAGAGAGCATTTTGCCTTTAGACCACTGGGTTAGATTATCGTGAACCACATCAACTCGCAATACGGTTCGACGATTATTCATATGCTTTCGATTATGGTTATTTCTCTTTGGGCATAATTGGACTCCAATTGTCAAGACTTCTAACTGAAACTTCAGAAAATCATTTCGAAACCTGTCACCAGTGTACATCAGTTTAATCTGCAGCTTTGCCTGTCACAGATTAACATCATGAACATTCACTACCAAATGGTTCTATGCCTCCCCCCCAAAAAAAACAGCCATTCAATACTGTCTCATTTTTCAGTTTCACCCCAACTTGTTTCAATTTATGACCAATACAAACCTGTTAAAAACTATGTTTATAACTTTGATAAACATATTATATGTAAGCCAATTAGCGTGGGGTTTCATTCTTTCATATTTCCAGTCGGGAACAAATCATCTAATAATTATCGTATTATATAGCGGACTGGTAAGACTACTGTTTTAAAAAATCCTTATGTAACTATGTTTAGCCAAAAGGTATATCCATATCTTATACATATTTAATCATTCACTTAAATATTTCTATCTTCTATGATTTATCAACTCTGTTTTGAACTAAGCCAAAAATTGACTGAAGATAAGTTTGAATGTGTCCACTTACCAATATCCTACAATCTCAATCAAGACTACTATATATATAGTAGTCTACGTATCCAATTGACGTCTAGATGAAATCATCCATTTTTCATCAATATTATTAATCGATACATTTCTGAAAAAGTACATATCACATCATTCTCTAGTTATTACTATTATTATTATTATTTAATTACTAGTGATCGAATGACGTTTAGTTTATGCTCACTAATGCATACACTAATGTACTTGATAGTGTGTGTGTGTGTGTGTAGAAATGGAAGCATTATTCTAGAATAATCCAAATTAGACATGTTTATTGAAAGGATAATTACTTGAAAGTGAATAATGGTATTTGTATATAAATTAATTAAATAGAATAATTATCCCACTTAAAATTTCATAAATTAAATTCATAAATGTGTGTTACATTTTCTATCAGTTTAGTTTTTAAACTAAACAGCTTTTTAATCTAATAGTTGAATTCATGAGTGGATTAAAGCTAGATCATCATGGAAAACTTAGAAGCATTAAACGGTCGTTCCGTCTTAATGTGAGACTCCTCAACAATGCGCATTCACGACCCTACATGTGGAACTCGAAACCAGAACCCTAGGTCTCGTGTGTGGATGATTAAACTCTAGACCATTGAGCCGGCATCCAACGGTGTTAATGTTTAACTTCAAACAATCCACGATGTTGCTCCACTGTCAGTGATTGTCTTCAGTGAGTCACTGCCTCACAACAGACACGACTGAACTCCACTGATCAAGTCTTCTCACTAGAACTCCAGCGGATATATATTGAAGCCAGTCACTAGTGAGCATATGATCAGAATGGGAATTTGTGGAGATTGTAGTAATTTTAGCAGTTGAATTCATGAGTCGATTGAAACTGAACCACTATAGGAAACCTGGAAGCACTATACAATAATTTTTCTTGCCCATTTTGTTAAACGACTTTTTAAATTGAAAAGTGACATGTTTGAAACGTATTTTAACCTTGACTGATGCAAAAGTCCGGACTCGTTATCCATTCTTATCACTCATTGTAATCTATTCATTGTCATGTCCTTTTGTCCTGTTAATTAGCACGTGATACGATCGCCAATTCGAACACCGACTTACTGACCAGACCAATGATGCATAAACCAGTACGAACAGACTAGAGTCATTCTGAATTCTTATTGGATCTCCGAGATAGTACCCGATCGCCTAACCCATCCGGTTCGGTTCAGAATACCAGTATCATTCTCTGTTATATGAATCATGTATTTCAGACATACTTGGTTTATATACAAGCAGATCAGACCTCATCACAGCATAAAGTAGAAAATAATAATTACACAAAATCAGACCAAAAAGTGGCTGTGATTGTGAGAAACTGTATCCAATAAATTGGGAATAGTAAGTCGTACAGTAGTGGTCAGTAGGTCATATGGAAGTTTATAATAAGAGGAATATATATATATATATATATATATATATATATATATATATATATATATATATATATATATATATATATATATATAGTCAGTTAATGGTTATACAATAATAATATATATAATAACAGTTCATAAATAGATCTTAGAAGTTACTATTCACTTATTCTTCGTCCAGATATAACATTCACCATTATAGGGTCAATCCACTCGACCAAACTAAACTATATAACTTGATTTGATTTCACACTTAAGATACCATCTCATCCCTGTAATTTGTAGTGTTATTTTACGATGGACAAGTGTTTGATTCCTGTATGTTATTGTATTCATTCTGAAACTTAAAAGTCACTGAATAGATACTGTATTAAATCAAGCATTTGTTCTTATTACAACTATACTCTGACGAATGAACTATACAGTTCAGTGATTTGAAAAATGGGCCAAATATTTCTGTTAAGAAATGAACAATACGATATTAATGTTGAATTAATTGTTAACTTGTTTTTTTTCTCTCTATTACTCACTGATTTCAGTTTAGCCAGTTTTTTTTTCTTGGCTCTCTCTTCTTTTTCGCTGATATTGTTGTTGCTTGTTTAACGGTCATTCATTTTTAATACACATTTCCAATATTTATTTAATCTATTCGCGTTGGCACATGATTTCAACTGATCGATAATAAGTACTACTTGAATTTTTCATCATTCTAATTCCTTTCATTTGATAGATGACCTGTCTGTCTAACGACCATTTCTACTACTATTACTGATAGTAATAATAATAATTACTATATGTGTAGGTGTGAGTGCCAAATGTAACGTTTAAAAATTGATTAAATATGAAACACGTTTTCACGTCATCTCTTCAAACTATGTTCACATTCTTTAGAATTCCTTTTACATAAAGTGGACATAACAGATGTATCTTACTACAGAGCAACACTCTTTTACTAAGTCCCCTATGATTGTGATGTCATTTAGTCAATAACAATTGGTTCATAGTTTTTGTAAATTCCAGTCAATTCACAATAAAGTATGGTTAGTATCATTGAGTAACTTTCTCAATCTCGTCTTATTCAGCTCTTCAAAACAACCATATAATTGATTAGTTCTCCTAATTCAGAAATAAACGATGGAAACTCTCTTCTTTCATAGAACAAATATTCTTTTCAGAATACATAGATATGATTTATAAATCTGTATAAATGATATGATCTATGGTTTAATTCAGTCATGAATACACCCTAACTACCTGGAAGAAAAAGACAGTAAGTGGAAATTTACAACACATGAATGAATACTGCTTACAGGGTAAAGTGCATTCATAGGTAGGTAATCAGACTAATCGAAATAGTCAATTTACCCAAGCCTACACTTCTCTCTAACTCACAACATATATCTTTAAAAATTGTCTTATTAAGTTTAGTATGGTTTGCTTGGTGAATCGATTGTACTTATAACATAGTACCTATATTTTTAACCAGTCACGATAATATTTAATTCATAATAACCTGTCTGCCTAAAAACCAACAAAGTATCAAACAATGAAGATCAGGTATTTCTTTGTTTTCGGAATTATCTCTTGTTAACAATGTCTTACACATATTTTTCCCCGTCTTAATACATTCCACTGTACAACTGTTTTTGTTCTTGTTATTAAAATTGTATTAAGTGATTGACTTCATTGGATTTCTTTTTTGTCATTGAATAGTTTGAAGCTGAATAAACACATATTTAACGTATAAAAATAATTTGTTACACTGTTTGATCACTGAGGTATAACTAATATCATACTTCAACCAATCCATGAAGTTGCGCCACCGTACACCATTGTCTTCAGTGAGTTGATATCTCACAACAGACGTGGTTGAACTCCACTGGTCACGGCTTCTCACTAGAACTCCAGGAGTATCTCTTGAAGCCAGTCACTAGTGAGCGCCTGGCGCGAGACTGATAGGTCCCGGGTTCGAATCTCGCGAGGTGCGGGATCATGGATGCGCACTGCTGAGGAGTCCCATATTAGGACGAAACGGCCGTGCGGTGCTTCCAGGTTTTCCATGGTGGTCTAGCTTCAATTAACTCATGATTTCAATCAGCGAAATTTTTAAAATCTCCACAAACCCCTTCTGATAATATCATAATTGTTTAACGCTTATTTTACAAGTATTTTTTCACCGTTCAATCTATATGAAAATCTCAATCTTACGACATAATTATTTTAGGGCTGGATCTTCCAATTATTATCTCTATTTTCTTCAATATGATGATTAATTAATTGGTTTATGAGAGTTTTTATATTATTCTATTTATAAGCTGTAACTGAACTGTCGTTATACGTTGTATCATTTCAGACTATTGTTAATTAATTGCAAATTTATTGCCCGGTTTTATGTTACCTTTAACTTCGTTTATAGGCATCAATATTGTTGGGGATTTCAGATTCCCAGAATGCATTTGGTAAATGTCTTATTTTTTTAATTCTATTTTAAAAATTTGAATTTACCGCTTTCGCGCCAGAAATATCCATTTTCACCTTCATTTTATATTTCCCGC